TGTCACAGGGGGTTCACAGATAATTCCTACAATTAATGAATTTTGCTTCTGGATGTGTCTATATTGTAATGTACATTTATTTTCAGCAGAGACAGCTGTACTGTGTCCGCACATCAATCAATGCCAACAGCAATATACAGTTCAAGTCACCAATGCATGCAAAGGTCACTGTCTTCACTGTTATAATATAACACTGCAAAGACAGATGTGCTCAATAAAAAATTGATCCACATAAGCGGGAAAAGCCACATTCTGAATATGCAACATGAAATAACATTCAAATCAAATTTCTTTCATTCGTAAATCATTTTGTTTTGAAATATTAACATTACCTTTGTGTTAAATATGTATACAATCAAACCTACTTGTACTGAAATGACACTATCTTTATTTATGCCCTTTGTTTAGTTTCTCTGATTCCTTTTCTCTTCCAAGTTCAATGGCATGAGAATTGCTAATGACTATGTATGATCTATGAAAGAATACAGGAAGTAAAAGTCATGTAGTGCTGTGTCAGTTCTCAAGGCTTTAGAAAGATTAATCCACCACCACGTTGATTAAATAAAATAAACCTTAGACACAACTAAAATCTCAACACAGGGCACAAGAGGTGTTCAATGGAACCAAAGTTGTATTCTGCTGTGAAATATTCTGTATAGATGAAAATTTCATGAAAATGTGAAGTTAATATTCAATATCAGACAAATTTAATGACGAAACTTACATGCGTTCACACAATAGTATGGTAACTACATGGAAAATCACAGCTAATGGCTTTGAAATTATAAAGGTAGAGGCAGGAAGTGGACAGGAAGTGTTACGTCTATGTAAATACTGTAAATTATATTTAACCCATGTCCTCTAAATGTCAAACCCAGCTACTGAAGAAGCACAATTAATTTCTGAATCCATCACAAAAAGCTAGCTAAGTAACACCTGAGGCTGTGTTAACTTGTATTTATTACTTTCACACAGACATCCAAATGAATAAGGAATAATCAACAAGCCTTCTATTTCTGCATAAGTGAGACATCTGTTGCAGGTAATACATTGTCTGTTTAATTATCAAGCGACAGCTCAGTGTTCACATATCATGTTGGAAGTGTTTTCTTCCAAAGTGCTTCTTCAGTGGTCCAATAAGGTGTAAGTCGTTACTTGCAGGGTTTGGGCTATAAAACTGCTACTGGAGTTTGTTCTGAAACAGGCTGTATGGGGTGGGCAATGTTGTAGAGAATAATCACTTTCTTTGTGAGCAACACGTGGTGTTTCCTTAAGACAGCTTATTTCAGGTGTCGGTGTTGTGAAACGGCAATATGCATTCACAGCAGACTGCATCACATTCCACAGGTATATTTCTCTGTCTCGGAGGTAACAGACCAAGTTTTGCAACTATACAAATAAAATGAGACAGCATAGCTCAGTCAGTATAGTGACTGCCTACGGACTGGACGACTGAGGTTCAATCCCCGACGGGGGCAGAGGATTTTTCCTCTAGACTCTGCATCCAGACCAGCTCTGGGGCCCACCCAGCCTCCTATCCAATGGGTACCAGGGTTCTTTCCTGGGGTAAAGTGCGGCCAGAGCGTGATGCTGACCACTCACCCCAATCTAGTGCCAAGGTCAATAATGAGTAAGAGCTATACCTGTTCCTCCCCCCAAGCGCCTACATGGCACATAGTGGGACACCTTTACTTTTACTTTATAAACTAATAAAATTAGTTTAATATTGTTTGTAAGAAGACTGTTAGTCACAAGAATCTAAATAAATAACATGCACCAAACACCTTTACCTTGACACTTTCTTTACTTGGAACAAATATGCTTATCTCTATATCTTCCATGCAGTTTTTTTAAAACATAACCTTAATTTGTCTAACTAATGTTAAAGTGTTACAAGTTTCTTTGTTCAGCAAGTAATTCCTCTTGTCATCAAAAGACAATTTCCAATCTCATGCATAACACATTGCTTAACATGCCTTGCATCCATCAAATAAATGCACAAAAATGAATTATGAGATAATGAAGTATTACTTATGTACCTAGAGTTACAGCTCTAATGTATATATGCAGCAAAATATACAAATATATCGATGTGTTAATTTGACATTTTGTTTGTGTATGTGCTTATATTCTATCTGGTCTTGGCAGTTTATATTATTCTCTCTCTAGTCACCTCTTGAGGTGTCAAAACTTTTGTGTTACTTACCTGTGACTATAACATATACTTTTAAAAAGTCTTCCTAGCCAGATTCTGTGACTCTAATACTGTAATCACAACCAAGGCAATTCAGTCCAAATTCTACAAAACACTTTCATTAATACATTTTAACTGGTTTCTTAATGTCAATAATGTCCCCCACATTTGTGCATGCAAGGAAAAATGACAAAAAATTCCATAATGTATTATAGACTATGCTGTATTCCACTGCTGTTCTCCTTATGTGACCTTACCTGCAATGTTTCATGTTTTATGCTCTGTTATACTTATTAAAGTGTTACAGTTCAAGTTTAGATGCATGAAGAACCCTCAGTGTAACCAACACAATCAAATATATCTCTTAGAGAGAAAAGAATGTCATGCATCAAAAACTTCCCTCCAAAATAAGCACATTACTGGAATTTACTATCTGATCATCTTCAAACACATGCCAGTTTACATGCCTTACAGAAGGAAAAAGCTGTAGAGAATAGAATAATATCTAACTCATTAAAAGGATACATGCATATATTTATACAAGTTCATGACATTATTCAAGTCAATAACTGCTACTATCTCATGAACATATCTCTAACAGTATCCTTATATCTCGGAAATGTATTCCTCGCAAACATGCAAGTCTACCTATACACTTAGTGTCACATCAGTATGATGCATAATACAGCTGAACAATGGCAGAGGAGATCAGCTTGCAAACCTCATGATCCTTCAAATGATGACAAATTCAAGAGATTGTGTATACAACAGAGATGATCAGTAATGGAGACATGGACATCAAATTCTTGCAACAGCAGATTTCTTCAAGATACTGGGGCAAACTCACAGTCACAACACTATGGTATACACAAACAGGAAAATGTGGAAGATCTGCTTCCGCACATCCAAAATCTTTGTCCATGAAGGCAAGTAACAAGATTACAAAATTCCCTGTATGTGCTAGCTGTGTTTAAAGGTATTACAATCCCAGGCTATCTGTGCCTATCTAAAACAAATTATGACTACAGCTGTGACTTGTGTAAATAGTCGGTCCTATGCATGAATAACTATATGAACACCCTAAAAATGGCATTACTCTAAAATGATGGTTGAGCCATTAACCTATACAAATACATAAGAAATACAGCACACACTATAAAATGAATCATGGAAGATAAGTTTTAGTTCAGACCTACAATCTTTGTGATATCTACAGATATCAGGTTGTTATGCGTTCTTTGCATAAAGTGAATGGTGAGAACACACTATGGGCAGGTCGTGTCTGTCCAGTCAATTCAACTTGAGAACCACTGGATGGATTAGAATGACATTTGATGTGGAGGTTGTACTATTCTGCACAACCTCAACATCATATTTTTGAATAACCTATGACTGGTAAAAACAAATTGAAAACAGAAGAAATTCGTAAAGTAGACAATGAGGTGCTGTGAGCTGGTGACCAAAGTGGGAACTACTGTACAAGGTGAATTTAATACCTCTAAACACACACTACAAAGAGCACATGAGAATATTATGCGTATTCCAGTATTAAATACACTTTCCAAGCTTGTTCTTCTCACTATTAAACTTATGTATCAAAGTAATATCATCACATTGCCATTATTTCATGAGCAAGTAAGACAAAGTGCTTCCACTGTTCTTCTGTTTCTTGTAAGCAACTACTATGTATGAGAAAAGCTGGTGTCAAATATGTATCCCTGTCTGTTGGAATGTTAGAAATCATCATACGAAAGCAAGGTAACATCTGACGGAGTATGACACCTTAGTCTGAGAAGATCTACAACCCAAGCCTTGTCCGCAGTACAGAAGTTAAATAAAATAAAACAAAACCACATATTGCGACTTAAATTATAAAATGTGGACACTGCAGTTCAATTCCCAATAAATCACGTGAAGGTACAAATGATGATAAAATTCACTGCCTGATTTCATCAGTCCCCAGGTTTCATAAAATAAATAAACATAAAAAGTATACTGAAAATAGCTGTAACGCCTTCCTCACTGAAACTTTTATTTTACATCAAACATACATAACACACCATCTTAAAATAAATTTTCCGAAAGAAATAAAATACAAAAATATGAACAGAAAGCTAGCTCTTTGAACGCCAAGAACTTTATAACAACTGGTCCAGTTCAGTGAGAAATGCTACCGCACTCTTATAATTTAACGATGGGAATGCAGCAGGAAAAAAATAAAAAATAAAATCCACCACTTGCAGCTCCAAAGTTCCCAAACGACGGATCTTCGAACTCATATGCATCTTCATTCGTCCCCAACTGCAGTATGAAAAAAAATAAATAAATAAAAAAATAAACAAAAATTGGAACATTTAACATAGTACTGTCTCAGTGACCCGTGAATAAGTTTGGGAATGCAATATAAAATAAACTGTATTCTCATTATGATCATTAAAAAAATAATTATGAGTAAAGTCCCAACATGACAGGAAAATTGGAGATCAGGAAATATCAGACCAGGAAAGCGTGCTTTTCTATCATCACTGCTGTAAGAATGTAGGAACCCCATTGCTTGTCTCCCCTTTCCTAGATGTTTATGAGTGAGTACATCTACTAACTTTAGTTCCAGTTGTACATATTGTAGCCTCCGCCCATGCCAATGGGATTGTACCGGTTATGAGATTTATCAGGCCGCATGACGCCGCTGTAGCTTCGGATTCCCGAGTAGCCACCGACGCCACCCCGCACCATGCCCCCTCCTCGCCCGACACCCCCTCGACCCCGGCTTCCTGCGCCCCCTCCAACACAATAACAACACATCACGCAGCAATGTAATACTTTATCCTCTCTCTCTCACACACACACAATATAATAATACAGAATGAATCTGAAACATCAGAATGTACAACAATTTACATACAGTACAGATACAGCTAGTATGTATGTACCCTTCAGATATTATACATACATAAACTGCCTGAACTGCAGAAATACATTAACCTGAAGAGCACATAATGAGTCTATGTACAAACTACTAGTCTGATTTCACTTATAAAGTAGAAAGAAAACAGAAAAATGCTTCTGTCAGCAACACAAGCACTAATATAATTCTTATATTCAATATTAATGTATTATTATTATTATTATTATTAAAGTGAAATAATGATGGAATAATTTCCTTTGTACATTGGGTGACTTCTTCGATTTAAACATATGAACATTACCTCCAGTTCCTTCTTCACTGGAATATAAACAAAATTGCAACTGTCCATGTTTGATTAAAAATCAATTACAACATTGTCTACATAGAATTACATTACATGAAATAAATCTTCTGTACACTTTTCATGACAATTTAAAAAACAAACAAAAATTGGACACTCGACTCAAAATCAAAGTGGGGCACCAGTTAGAAGAGAATATCACAACTCTGCCTACATGACAGGAGTAACACCAATGATATATAGAAGGGCACCTACCACACTGACAGAACTATGCAGGCAGCCCTACTGAAAGCTATATATCCTCATGCTTTGATGCTGAAGCCAATTAGTAGAGCACTGACAAGCTGTAAGAATATTTAATTATCAATGTCAAATAAATAAACAAATTAAAAGTTTTTGTTTGTTTTTTAAATAAGGGTGCCATTGATTAATACTGATATGTTCTTTTCTTGGTATACAAACCCTCGCCTCCTTTTTGCACAAGGAAGAAAGAAATAAAAATGTAGCATCAGTTCCTTCATTAAAAAAATCAGGTTCAGTAAGTTGAGTGTCTACATGCTATAATAAAAAAGCACAAGAAACAGTCCTGCATCAAAACTTAATGATAATAAGTGTTACAACCAGATTAAGAGCCTACACATAACACACACTGTCACATATTTGCAGCATTTTACTTGTTACCCACAATATCTTTTTGCAGTTTTTAATGAATGCAGAGTGCTGCATTTTACAATAATATTTCTGATAACATGTCTTCTTATACAGTTTTATTTCAGCATCAAGAAAAACACCACCACTACCACTACCTCTATTTATGATCACAATGGAAGCTTCCAATTCCACATACATACATACACACACACATAATGAGCTGTATGAGTAGCTTTCCTGACTCATCTCAACATTTGTCTTTTGGCTCATCTTCTGGTTATGACCTCCAACTCACTGGTCTTATGTAGCATACCTCATAACTATCATGTTTTAAACAAAATTAAATTTGGGACTCAATGAAAAAATTCTACTGATCACAGCTGCAGGACTGTTTCATTATCACCTTCCAACATCACAAAATTTATAAGGTCAATAAGGAGGAGGTGCCAAAGAAACTCAAGTGTAGCACACAAGAGGATGACTTATAGACAGGGCTGGTCTTCTACAGTAAGAAAGAAGTGCTCAAGATATGGTTCTGCCTCCACAAAATACATCATTTATCCCTATGAAAATAATCATGCAAAAGTCTCATCTTTGAGAAAGCGGGAGCACTGCCCCCTGCCTGAGCACTGCAGCCACCCACACAGCAAGTTTCAAAACATTTCAACCACGTAGGCATAAATAGGAGGATAATACTGAAATTAACTGAGAGGAAAACAGGACGTGAAGACAGACTGGCTCAGGACTGGGTCAAATAGCGGACTTCGGGAAATATGGTGATGACTTGCAAAACTAGGAAAACTAACAACATGAATAAATATCAACCACTCAAAGAAGAACATACATCATGTAATTAGTTTAAAACTGAAAATCAATATAGTCGATGAACATGCAGCACTTCTGACTGCAGTTTTATCATGCTTTCACAGCAGTCTAACATCTTTTTAAGTGATGGTACAGACATTCTCAGCAAATAAATTCATGCAAATACAAACTAGTGTAAACATACACCTCAAATAAACATTGGAAATAAGACTGACATTCTTCTAAAACAAATAATTACAGATTATTTACTTTTGTTAATCAACACAAACATACAAAAAACCTGACATCACTCAATACTTTTTGTGAACACCCTGAAACATTTTGTACACCCCCAAAAGGTTCACAAACCAAGTGTGGGAAATCACAGACACATTAACATCCATGTAAGACCTCCAGCTTCTAATTAATTTTAAACTAAACATAATAAATACTTTGTAATATATTGTATATATTCCCATTTACTACCATAAGCTTGTCATAAAATTATATTTTCACTTTCTAAAAATGATAAAATATATGTAAAATGCAGTATGACATCATTCAGGCAATATTATCCTACATGAAAGATAAAGAAGGCTAAAATTAATAATTATGTATGCCATTGGTGGTGGGTCTGTATGAGTTAATACATACAGTGCAATCCTAATCTAATGTTATACATCTACAACCCATCCCATTATCTCACTGCCACTTACAGTTTTCTCACTTTAGTGTTGAATTCCTTGTTTTCCAGAGAAATTTTAAATACAATTTCACTCTACACCCTACAGCATGACCAGAATTTGAGGAAATGGTAAAGTGCATAACTGAGTAACAGTTCTGTACACATACAAGTAACTTTACAAAAGAAATGCTTTCTTATTTCACCTTAACTGATAACACATAGTATATTAAAAAACAACCACCTCTGACTGCAGAGTTTATAAACAAATGCTAACAAGTAACAGTCAGTAATGTATGTAGTAATCATACAAGCCAAGATGAACTCTTTCACAGCCAGAATTCCAAACACCCAAAGCACGCACGCACCCACAAAAAAGGTTTAAATATGCTGAGTATTGAGATTTCAGATTCTCAAGTTGGCAAAGATGTTGTTTACGGCTTTCTGGATTGAGACACCATGTAGTCTTGTAGGTGGTTGTTACCAACCATTTTAAAGAATGGTGCCAATACTACTGAGTATTTTTTTAAAATTTTTGTTTGAAATCAATTTTCTCACAAATGAAACATTCAAATACCACACTAATGTAGGCAGGATGTCTGCCTCTATGAACAGTCCACAACTGCATATATCAATTCAAAATGCTGAAATATTATACAAACTCTTTACCTCATTCTAAATGATCTTGGCACAAACCAACTATACGGAGCAGAATCATTCTTTAGAAGTGGGCAGTACATTCAGCTAGGCAAGACACTCGCCACCTTTCATGGAATCTAAAAGTTCACTCCCATGTTCACAAGAGCCCATCAACAATCCTGATCCTGAACCAGATTAATCCAATTCATAACCTCCCTTCACTTCACCTCCCACCTGTTTAATTTTTCAAGTGGTGTTTTTGCCACCAGGCTTTCCAACAATTTTGTACGCATTTCACATCTCCCACAAACACTACATGCCCTACCAATCTCATCCTATCACTTTACCCCTCTTTGGTCCAAATATTCTCCACAGCACCCCGTTCTCAAACACCCTCAGTATGTGTTCTCCCATTAATGTGAAAGGCCAAGTTCATATTCAAAATCAAAAGATAGTTTTGTATATTTCGATTTTCATGTTTTAGGTAGCAGATGGGAAGACAGAAAATTCTGAATGTATGGTAGCAAGCATTCTCCATATTTTAATCTACTTTAAATTTCTTTGTGTGAAGGCAATTTTAATTTGTTACCTTCACTCTTAACACTTGATCTTGGTACTGCAAGGGTTAAATACTTGAAAGAATAGAAGAAATGAGCATGTTAGGTGGCATTCAGAAGTGTTTAAAGGCAACACTGAAGAAGGAAGCACTGTTTGCTGCTTGGTTAAAACAACACAAATGGGAAGAAGACATAGATGTGCCATACAGCAGAGCCAATGGCATGATGGCAAGGTGATTCTTCAAGACCAAAGAATAATACATCTTAAATCCTGACTTTTACAAATCCAAAAGCTCCTGATGTACATTATCTTACAAATACTTGGACTTATACTTTTCTGCAGAGATCACATGGTGCAAATCAGGTCATATGACTTCATGATTCAGCAGTCAGGACTTGATCTGTCTCGTATTTGCAGTAAGCATTTTATTGACAAGTGTTTTGTCAAAACACGGCCAATATAGTAAATCCTCGATTTAACGGATTTCAGATTTAACAGACGCTATCTGGTATTGCCAAATGTTTTCTGGACAGGAGTCATAACAAACATTTTCAGTTTTAACAGACAAAGTTCATTAAAACCGAAAATGTATGCTAATGACTTTTGGATCTTTTTTCAACTTAATTATCTCTTCACATTGTAGTGTTTAAATAAACCTTGTGTCTTTGAAGGTGTCCAGTTCATATTACTAACCTGCTTAATGGTATTCCTAATGGAAATGATGGCACTGCAGAAAGAAATGTGCTATTTAACGGGGCAATCAGCATTACCAGACACCCCTTCCCCCTACTAGTCCATTAAATCGAGGGTTTACTGTACCTGACATACTAGAGAATAACACTGGAACAAATAACACTGACATTTGCAAAATTAGCAACTTTATGGAGAAGGAACAGTGTGTACAAAAGAGGCTTTTGGGTTTGTAAAGGGAGCTGAACAAAGCAGCAAAAATGTTAGAACAACAGAAAATCTGGTCTTGCATGAGTTCCAAGAACTAATATAAATGCAAAAAAGTTACTGAAATGGTCAGAAATGACTTAGACTGTTCAGGAAACAACGGAAGAACTAAAAATGAAAAGAAAAACTGAGACTGATTACAATCAAAGATCCAAACATGAAGAATGTTTTTACCAAAATGGTACCAAAAAACTTCAGCAGTGAGCAAAAGGTAGATAAGAAAGTAGCCCAGAAGCATCAACAAGACAGTTGGAAGAATCTGACCTACACGATGGGACCTGGGTCTTCCAACAAGGCCCACAAATAGAAGCCAGAATCTCCAATGGAAAAGCTGGACGGACACACACACACACACACAACACTACCCAAACCATGCTGACCTCTTTCTTGATATCAGACACATTAGGAATAGGTATGAACATATCCATCATCAATTTGTTTCTCCAAAGTAAATAGTCAACTAAGCATTCTACCTTCAAATTTTGCAGACATTTATATGAGTGCATCATCAATAAAAATCAAATATTCAGCTGGACAAGCAGATTTTTCAGCATACTAATACACATTCTGACACAGCACTTTCAATAAAGTTTTGTGGCAGAAAGATCTGTGTTGGAACATCCACTCAACTTGCCTGATTAATATCTATAACACTTTATGTTCTCAGAATTAAAGACCGGCATGACATGGTCTCACTGTTAATCACTTGAAGACATTCAGAGCAATGTGACAACAGAGGACTTTCAGAAGTTACTTCCAGCAATGTCTTCCATGGCACAGACCTCAGAAATTTTGAAGATTAGTGACAACAGTTTTTCCTTATAATGTCATGTTACTAGTCAGATATCAAACATGTGTACCACACTCTACAAACATTAGATAAAAGCCATAATATTAATAATTTTAACCTATTCAGTACACCTGCCATCAGGCTTCATGATGGATGTAGAGGACGTAAAATTTGAGGTTATCACGGTGATGAGTATGAAGAAGACAGCAATCTTCAGATGCAGAGGACACTCCCCAAACATCAGTTTCATTTAAACGTGTTTCTTATAGAAAAAGTAATGCAACTAACTCCACGGAGCAGATTCTTTCTTGTCAAGCTGGTAGACACTCAGATAGTCAAGGAATTACTCTTCTTTTATGGAACCACAAATTTCATTATAGTGTTCACACGAGCCCACCATCGGTCATTATCCTGATTATTTATAAACAACTCTAGTTTTAAACATGCAAAATTGTGAACTGTGGTCATACAATGCTACATATACTACTGTAGGATCATGGAATCTGAAAGAATTACCTACTCCAGATACCTGTCCTGAAAACAGAGCTAAATAGAAGTGCTCTTAATGTACTCAAATGCAGAAAAAGGAAGTAAAGTTTCTTTTAAAAGCAGATATTTATGTACTTTGAAATCAAAAACCAATTATTTGATATAATTTATCTTTGCAAAAATAATTTTACAAACTCAATAAATGAAAAGGATGCTTTGGAAGCCCAGCCCTGTTCATAAAATAAAGAGGGATAGATGTGAAGTGAAAATTCAAGGAAACCAACTGCAAAAGCACAATCATAAAGGCTCCTTTTAGTAATTGGAGTATTGTTTCTTATCTTTTACAGTTATCAAATAAAACCCACATGACACACCATTTAAAAACTGTGTCAGAATTAAAATGTACGTTCACAATGGCATATATAATCACTGGATTAAGAGAAAACTGAAAGGTCCCATGAGAATCAATAATAAAAAACAAATCAGCACACTAATCAATACAAACAGCTCCAAATGCAATACTTTTCTAGCAAAATTTAAGTTTTTAAAGTCAAGGATAACACTATCAATTAACAATTCCTATGATACGTGCAAAACCAAACATACCAAAGTCTTAAAATCAGCAGAAGAGAGCCATTATGTTTTACATTTGCATTCCAAGGTATATGAAAAAAATGGGGAATGACATAGCATCTGGACCAATTTCAACACCGATGCATGAAACCGACGTACTCGGCAACAACATATAATAGCTGATGATGATGATGAAAAAACCACAGCATAGCACATTCACAATAAGAGATAAAAGCTTGGAAAAGTAATGCATAAAGAAAGTCAAAGCTGCTAGCAGTAGGATACTTACCTCTGCTCTGGTTATATCCCGCCTGCCAACCTGCATAATAGGCTGCCTTTTGTTTGCCATGCTCCTCTGCAATCTTCACTACTAATGGTTCAGTCCCATTCTCTGGGATAACACCATTTAGACTGTTTATAGCCTCCTGTGCTTCATCACGACGGTCAAACCTTTGTGAAAAATATTTTTTACTGCAGTAAGCAAACATTTTATAAGCCGACAAATTGTCTGCACAATCATACATGAAGAACAACAAGAAAACCTGCAGATGACAGCAAAACATTGGTCCTGTATGGTTACAAATTATTTTTCACAATGCTGATGAATACTTTGGAAGAACTGTTTTCCAAAACTGACAAAAGGAAACACAGACACAAGACTAGGAAAGAACTCACCTGACAAACGCTACACCCCGGGGCATGCCTGTTAGCTTGTCCTTCAGGAGGTTTTTCTGTACTATCTGTCCGTACTTGCCAAACAGCAAGTCCAGATACTGCTCTGTGATGTTGCTGCACCAACAAACAAAATTGATACAATATGCAAATCATATTAAAAAATTAATAATCAACATAAAAGCAGTTAATGTATTTAATACTGCCAACAAAATTAACACATTCACTGCTACATATTTAAATGCCAGTTTAAACTTCCAGATTACGTGACAATGGCTAAACAAACCAATAAATATTCGCAATTAGAATAATTCACTATTTAAAATTAATACATATTTTTCTTCCTCAAAGTGTTCATCATGATGTGTGGAAGTCTCTTGGTAATTGCACAGAACCTACTGAAGAAAAGTCAAGATGTTTAAAAGTCTAGCTAGAATAGTGTGAGCCATCACTGGCATGCCCGAAAACAAGTACTATTATCACTGGCAGTGAATGCTTTGTGTACTACAAGTGTTCTCAACCTTCTTGAGGCCTAGGGTCACATTCAACCTTGCTTACTTACTGACTTGCAGGCTACAAGATTTTAAATGAGGGCAACATATTGAAACTTCATGGAAATTTATTAAAAATGCTACACATGATTTAATGAGCAATGAGTTTCTTTGAATAGAGACTGCTATCACTGACAGTGAATGTTTTAAGTATTACAGTATTATTTATGTTCTCTTGGTTCACAAAAATGTGCCCAAAAAGGCAGCTCTCCCATGGTCCAGCTTCTGTATACAGATAAGATCACACTCCATCAATCTATTAATGTTTTTACAGGCAATCTGGTAACGCAAACCTTGAGCTATAAATCTCCAGGTATTTATTTTGTTATTACCAATTATTGGACTCGGTGCACTTATACTAAGAAATATGAGGTTAGAGCATTAAAAATGTCTTTTTTACATAAAATGAATATAAAAAGTATAGTAATTTTGATTCTTTAAACCAATATTTTATTAGAGAATTGGAGTACCCTGAAGACGAGGACGGTTTTGAAATGGTGTTTTCTCAAAAAAAACACCTAACATGGCTGGTAGCCGAAGAATAATTCATTAAGTTTAGTACATAATCCAGTTTCAAGAGCATTACAACACTTTTAATTTCTCCACTGGCCACTTATGGTGCAAATTTCTCACATCATTATGTCCATTACAACATTATGCCTATCACTTGCAAAGATAAGCAACTAATTCTAGGGCATACTAAATTAATCTAATCTATTATTAGTAACATGTACTATAAACAATACTTTTAACACACACATTTTACTCGTACCGTGGCAGGTTGGTGACATACAGGTTTGTTTCCTTGATCTCTTCACCACTTGGACGAGCAAATGATACCTTCAGTCGTTTGTTCTGCACCTGCAACCCGTTCAATGTGCCAATGGCCCGTGATGCATCTTCCGCCTTAGAATAGTTCACAAAACCAAACCCGTAGCTATATCCTGTCTGAAGTAAAAACACAAAAAAAAGGATACAACACTGACACAATAAAATATAACAGATTTTTAACTCAAACATATATTAATCAAAAACTGACTAAATCCTTCTAGTATTACAATAAATATTTACCTTAAAGTCCTTCATGACTCTGCAGCTTTCAACTGGACCGATGGTAACAAACATGCTGTACAATTCCTTCTCAGTCATATTCTGTGGTAGGTAGTTAATAATCAAGTTGGTTTTTCCTTCATTTTTCTGAACTTGGTAGTCAGCCATTGGTCTATGGTTTATGGAGGAGTTTCTTGAACTGTGGGACGGACCCTCGCCCTCCCAACTATGAGGGGAATATACAAAAATAAAAACAAACTATTGTCTCCGCCAAGCTGCATATTTTTGGAGAAAAAAATATAAAAAAATATCCACAGTACCTGCCTGAAGGAAAATAAGAGGGGGTAAGGTACATCAAATTAATTCACATCGTTCATTTGGCTAGCCTACTGAAGAATTAATTCACACGAAAACAACTCTATAAAATGAAACTTATGAAAATAAGAGAAAGGAACTATAATACAAATCTCTCACATAAAATTAAAACCACTGCTTCGTACTGGCATTCAATACACATGTACACTTTGAATTCCGACCTTGGAACATCATCCCTAAGATGAAGTCTCGTCTACTTTCAAGCCGCCCGACACAGACAAAGTGCAAATTTGGCGGTAAAACAACGCAATACAAGTAGACCTGCGTTCATATTATATAAAAAATTCAGTGACACTGACCTAACAAGTTATATAATGCAGTGACAGTTCTTCATATTAAACACTACTCCAGAAAACCATGTATCAGCCCTTACCTCAAGCCCAAACAATGCAGTAAAATGCTATGGTGTAAATGCTACATTAGGCAAATCAAGATATGAGTTTTATACACATTGTTTCCACAAGTACGTCAAACCACGACGACTAAAATACAAATTACCATTGTTATACTATTACCTATAACAACCGGCAACTTCTGCAACGCAACTATTCTCAAAATTGAAAAGAAACGGTTATGAAGTACCTTGTCTCTTGGCTAACGTAGTGCAGTGTTCTAGGATAGCCGTCCATTTTGAACATCGCAAATTGCCGCAATGCGATTTTTGGTTGTTTATTTCTTCACGACCTATCGATAGTTGACACAGCCGCTAAACAAAATTTGTTTAAAACTGGTATCTAAACATAGCTCCTTCCTAACAAACCTAAAATTGGCTATCTTCGCAGATAGCGTAACACAGTACAGCAACACGTTATGACTATGACATTAACAGTTCGGCCTCCTCTACTAGACATGTATCGCAACCTTTTTTCACCTGCGGTACACAATAATTGTGAAATACATGACCACAAATATGTATCTGTATATAAAATCCGTGCCTTATAAAAATATAAAATTAATAAATTACGTTAGATAAATTTTCGATGATGAAAGAGAGTAATTGCCCTTGTCTAACTATAACATGTGAGCGAATATGCAATTCCTTATAAAAATTCCTGATACACACAAATCCTTGTCATGGACCACCAGATGTGTTAAAGCTTATTGGTCCGTTATGTAGGGCATATCTCATACAGGGATTTACTGTCAACTCAAATACAAATATGTGTTACTTTAGTTCTTACGCTTCATATTCACAGTTAAGTCTCGGCCCGTACACTAGCTAGTCTGTCTCCTTCCTGTCCCTCAAAATTCTGTGGTTGCATCTAAACATAATATGGGCTTTTCTACATCCTTAAAAATTCTTTATATATGACAATCCTCATGCTATGCACTCTTTGTTCACACTGTGATAACCTAAGTAGATGGGCCTACTGGGCTGAAAGAATTTACTTAAAGATATGATACAGAAAACATAATTGTTCCATCATACTATAACAGCAAAAGGATTAATGGATCAAGTTGTAAGGAAGAATAATGATTCATATATTGCATACAAAATGGTCATTCTACTGTGGAACAATTGACACAGCACATAATAATACTGTTCATCAAATTAACAGACTTCTCAACAAAAATCAAATCAAGTGACAAGCCACTGAAACGGAAAAGGAGTTTCAGGGAATCAGACTGAAATATTATTTACATTCTGAAAATACTAATTATGTACCTCCACCTTTAAATTATTTTCAACTTAACATTATATGGACAAAAGACAACCAATTTACATATATAACTGTTCATACAATTTTGACACTTGTAGTCGTGTTTCTCAGTTTTAAGCATTTCAAAGATCGTGAAAAAGTGTTTTGTAAATATAATATTGAGTACATGACTGGTGTTCTGGTATTGGTAATTTGTAATTTTAATTTTTATATGTATAAAATAACCTAATCCTCAAAATGAGCTCAGATTTTTACCATAAAATTACATTAACTTTGGGTAGTGAAAAATAATGTGCAGAAGAAGGGTTAGAAATGTTATGAATGCCTTACAGGAACATTACACACAGGCATCCTTTGAATTACCGCTCCAGAATTGACAAAACAAAGAACAGGCACTACAAGTAGTCTATATATAAATAAGAGTGAGTGAGAGATAAAAAATGTAATGTGTCTGGGGAAAAAAATGTGTACGACACTTCTTAAATATAAAACATTAAATACAGTACAAGAGTAAACATGATATGATCAAGTGATTTTGTATCCATTAAGTTGTTTCATTGCAGATACAAATATTACAGCTAATGCAATGAACAGTCTTAAACCCTATGGTTGTCAAAGGTAATCAGCAATAGAAATATAACAATGCACAAGGGGCATTAATGATATTTTAACAACAAAAATAATAGTGTTCAAAGTAAAGGTATAACTTGGTTATGAGCGTATTATTTTATATCATAACTCATTTTTCACAGAATATGGGACTACTGAGAAATTTTAGTCTGAATGTAGCTTCATGTAAAAAGGTTTTTAAACTGAAACAAAATACGTCAAATTTAAATTCTCCATCCAGTACCAAATTGCATCAGAATAGTTTTGAAGATGGAACATGTAAATGGTTAGGTATGATCTCCATATTATAATTTTATGCATTTATCCAAAGAAAACTCAAATATGTAAATGTACCAACTAGTGCAGAAAGTGTTGGATGCTTTCCAATCATAAAAATTAAACAAAACAACAAGACAGTTATGGTCCATGTCATCTTGGTGATTCCATAGTAATTACCAAGTTTAAATTTGCAAGCCCACTTTTTGGAGTTCCACTTTTTTTTTTTCATACCCAGGGCCAGATTTGTACTTGAATCAATGGAAAGTATTCATTAATGTACTCTTTTTATAATATTCACTTATACAATAATCTTGATACTTATACGTTTATAGTGGTTCACTGATGGCCAAACATTATGAACATTAGGAAACAACTACCTACAAATTCTATTTTTTATCATAAAATATCAACTGAATCATTCAGAAACTGCATAAAAATCTAAAAGTTTCTCCTGCTTTGTAAAATAAGGTTTATTGTATATCTACCTACAAAACATTTCAATTTTATTCTATTTTGTTCACTTTGCAAGAACTTATAATGTTCTACTATTCGGAAGTATCAAATGAAAACTGGAAATGGAATGGCTTGCATGTAATTATGCAGGGAAAACAATTACCCTCTCGAGGGCTTTTTGTCATAGCATGCACCTAGTAATCAAAATACATTAAAACTGACTGACATAAAGCAGTGGTCAAATGTGATTACTTGTTTGAATGCAAGTGTTAATTTATGTATGTACTTACTCATTGCTATACAATGTATGTATGGCAGTAGTTGCCATCAGAAATTCAAGTTCTATAGATGGGTTTAGGAATTTAAAAGTAAATGTAGAAAGTGTGGATGATGTTCAGACCTGGTCATGCTAACCATGTGGTGACACCAAAATACATAAATGCCATCAGTTCTGTGTGATCTGAAGCTTTCACAATGACCAAATATAATAAATTCTTCTTGGGCTACCAGCCATGTAAAGTGGCTTAATGAAGAAAACACCAGCGTTTTGAAGGATGAAGATGGTTCTCAAAACGTTGGTGTTTACTTCATTAAGCCACCTTACATGGCTGGTAGCCCGAGAAGAATTTATTATGCCACTAGTGCTATCACATATGCCAACGAAAATGTTGTACAAACCTGGCTGTTTTCTGGGTTGTAGCTCAATGTAGTCTGATAAACGTTTACCAATATTTGAGAGGTTCTTGCTGCCCTGATGATGGAGGAAGAAAGGGCCTCTGAAATGCTGGTAAATTTATAACAGACTACTTGGCACTACAATGTAGAAGACAGCCATCATCATACTCACTGCCATGAGAAGCTCAAATCCTAAAATTGTAAACATACATACATACATAAAATAGAGACAACTATGAACTCTACCTCTCATTGCAAATCTATAGTTAACAATCTGGAGCTTACCATAAGCATCAAACATAGGACTGTTACCAAACGAGGTGTGCCTCCAACATGATAATGCTGCTCAGGCAATGGGTAACATGATACAAAATTCACATATAACGTTTTCTTTACCATTTGTAAATACTTTATACATCCACAGCATTTATATAAAAGCTGGGAGTTAAATATAAATTACAAGAATATTAACTCTAAAAAATAAACTCATAATTTACCTTAGCTATTGATCGGATGGTCCTGTGGCCATAGCTGGTCTGCGGCGAGCTGCAGTTCACAGGTATGGACGACGCAACCACAGCTCGCCGCAGACCAGCTATGGCCACAGGACCATCCGATCAATAGCTAAGTGCAGAGTTCAACCCTTGTGAATAACAACATCTAGTGCAGTGTCGCTTGAAATACTTTCGTTAAACACCTTATTTATTTTCTAAATCCAGTTTAAACCATTTGATTAAATGAATGAATTTCCTTGATGCCACTGATGATGACCTCTTGAGGTTGAAACGCGTTTGGCACTAGTGTCATTTATAGTGTTAATAGTTGTTTGTTTACTTATTTTATATTCTAATACACTACACGGTATTCAAAGTTTTAAGATCATAATTTACTTTATGCCATAGCAAAACCAAGACACAATATTATCATGCACATGGATGCTGGCAGAGATGAGGATCACACAACTTGATTTACAAGTTCCATCTTTAATCTACGTTCTTGAGCAGAAAAAACACTTTGATACCTACATTTCTGTCCTTTCCCTTAAAATAAAACTGATGAAAGCAAATGCCGTGGAATGACGTCATATTGTGCCCTGTAGTTTATAATTATCTTTACCCTCATTTAAAGAAGTGAGATATCAAAATGTGAGTCCATCTTGATTTTCTTACTGATATGTTGCTAACTGCATTGGTTGTGTAGTGTGAAATGGCATAAAGTTCATAAACAATAAATCAAAGTGCTGATGAAATATATGAACCAAAAACAAAAGCTTTTAAGAAATTGGAAAATTTTATTATACAGCTGGTATGCGGACAATTTTACTGATCAGCAGCAATAACACTGACACTCATCTCTGCTTGTTACTAAGACATTCAAGATGAAAATGCTGTCTTTTGCTTTCAGTTTGATTCCCTGAGAAAGAAATGCATGACACTTAACAGTCTTTCTTACACGAAAAATAGTTTCATACAACTAGACAGTAATAAATTAGGTAAAAATCTATATACTGTCATGCAATCAGTAACAGAACAACTCTCAAACAGGGAATTATAAATATTTCTATCTTCTGGGTTGTTGTTCTGTGTAGTCTGGTCAATGTTAACCAACGTTTCAGAGGTCATACTGCCTCCATCATCAGGGCAATGAATATGCCAATAGGGTGTGTGGGGCTAGGTTTATATGAACTGGACTGTAAATGGAGTAGCCTGCCCCGAGCCAATGGGAGCAGGCATTGGAGTGGACCAATAGAAGCGCGTGGGTGAGTGTGAGAGAAGGAGAAAAAGGAAAGAGAGAGGGGGGTGACTCGGGAAGTGCGTCCGGTGGGACATCAGGAGTTCGGCTGAATGTGATCGGGGCCCTGAAAGGGCCAGGTTAGTGGTCTGGTTGGTTCCGGCGGTGCACTCTGGATTGCTCTCGGAGCCCTCAAAAAGTGTGAATAAGAGGCTTCCAGGACCAGCTCAAGTGAAGTCCATCTTCCCTGTTGAAGTTATCAAGATGTAATTCGATTTTGATGGCTTCCCTGGCATATTCATCGCCCTGATGACGGAGGCAGTATGATCTCTGAAATGTTGGTTAACATCGACCAGACTACACAGCGCAACAACCCAGAAGACAGAAATCTTCATACTCACTGCTGTGAAAACCTCAAATCTAACAGGTAATTATAAATTATTCAGTTAAAAACTTCATTCATACATTCCAAAGTACTGTATTTATCCAAATACCATTCGTATGGTTTTTTAAAACTCTTATGTAAAATACCAGATGTATGTAATATTTAGGATTCAACTTGGGTAGCACAAAATTCTACATATGGGAATTATCAAGACACAGCAGTACACATGGCAACATTGCTGGCATGTGCTGTGTTGTCTGCTGGCAGAGTTCTATTGGCAACAGTGCATGCTTATATAAACTTCTAAAATGGGACTTACCACATAAATATAATTTAGCAAATTTTTGTTTCTAGCAAAAGTTTAACAAAGTAATGTTCATTTATTAATAATTCCATAAAAATTTGAGCATACAACTAATTTGGGAAGTGACATTTGGATAAATACAGTATGTCATGATGCAAATTACAAGTGTTGAAAGGTGAAATGTTGTAAATTTCCTTCACAAGTCATGGTCACCCACACTCTGCCCCAAGTATTCACGATACAGCTGCTGCTGCAACACACCAATTTTACTTAAATGTAGTTCTACCTTGTTTCAATATTAAATTAAGTTATGAATTAAAAATAAAGAGACTATGGCTGTTTCAGAACAAATTCTGATGAAAGTATTTGGGAGGAATGCTAAGCACCACACTAATGTTTAGTATTTTAGAATACACTTCTTGAAAATTGCATTATTGTCATCTGGCAGTCAAGGAGTACTTGAGCAACTTGTTGGTACATTTTGGCCTCATTCTTCACCACATATCACATTAAATTATAATTAACCTCTGAAGTTGTTTTAGTGTTGTCACACAGCCTATGAATGAACAAACTTCATATTCATTAAATTTTATTAGTATGTAGAACCCATGAATATTGCTTGTTGTCTCCCTGTTCCTTCCCACAAACTCCATCCTGTTCATTAAAATAATTGGTTGCCACACTCCTAACAACTGAGGAAACACTATTAAGTGAAGTGAGCAACAACAGTAAATGAACTTCATTGTACAGAGTTTTCCTTGAGTAGTTGATGGGTTAATTCAGTTGTTCATGAAACACTCTTCTGTCCTAAAGGTTCATCACTTCATATGATAATTTTCTGAATCCTCTTTCTTTAATTTCATGATCCTTTCTTCTAATATTTTATCTTTCAGGTGGTTCCTTCCATTGTGGGTTTTCAGCCAAAATTTGTATGAGTTTCTTGTTTCCCCAGTTTGTGTCCTATGTTCTTTGTTCATATCAGTCTTCTTGATTTAATAACCCTTGTGCTATGAAGTGAAGGATGCAGGAAGTTCATGTATGTGTCAGGAACTGTGCATATCTACAGGCTAAAAATGCATCAAAAACTTCTCAGCTTGTGTTACATAATTTGATGAATGTACAAGAGGAAAGCCAAGATAATCTATAGAACATTAAGTAGTTTTGTAGTCTCTTGTAATTGTAAATGTATGTCATTGCACATATGGCAAATTATATTCCTATTGTACACGACACAATTTTCTGATAGTTCCCATAACTATATTTAAAAAAAAATCATAGTCTTAGACTGAAATTATTATGTGCAGTTTTTTGTATATTGTCAAGCACGGAGTATAGAATAAGATGATGGAAAGGATGATCATGTGTACAGTAAACTTTAAGTTATGTTGGAGAAAACTCTGAGAATCTCAGTTGGGATAATGGGTCCCCAGCCAGGACTTGAATTGGGTACCTCTGCAATGTAATCCTAGTGCTTTACTGCTGTGCTAGCCATGGAACAACATAGCCGTTGCACAAACTTCTGCTTCATATTTCAGAGGTCCTGAATTAAAATCTGAACCTGGAGACTGACAACTTTCTTAAAACATATTTGTAGCTGCTAAATAAAAATCATAATAACAAGCATTGAATTTTTTCTGATGATAATAATTTTGATGGATTGTGAATTCAATTCTTGATAGGAATTAATAAAGATATATTCATGAGAATTTTACGTTTACTGCAGCTAATATGATGTTCCATCATTTGGTATGATCCTGAGCTAGTTATGTCCACGTCCTATCTTTACAGTGTGTTTCCTTAAATTCCATTTTAATGATATTCTGCCATCTCATTCTTGGTCTTCTACCTGGATGCTTTCAAAGAAAATTCCCCCTAATATTGTGTACATTTCTTGTCTCCCCATATGATTACTTTTCTAGCCTGTTGTAACCAGTTATATGTCAATACACTAAGAATACAAAGTTTTTCATTGCGTAATATTTTAAATTGATCATCGTATTGTTTGTTTGGCTCCATTGGCTTCACTTTCCTTCACAGCAAATTGAAGTTGCTTTTCACTTACTTATCTTTCATTTATCAGAAATGAAAAGTGATCATACTGAAGGATTTTTGGAATGATTCATGAAGAGCAGTGGTTATATTTGTAGCAACATGTTTTATGGTTGCAAGTTGTGTGTTTGTAAGCAGAGGGTTGAAGTGCCCCTCCCCCTTCCTGTTTCCTGTTTTTCACAATAATCTTGCCTTTTCCTGTGGGAGCGGCTGCAGTGTATAAGATCTGTTGCAACAGTTTTGTCGTGCCACTCTCCACGGTTTACAGCTCTGTTGCGGTGTGGCTCATCACCGGGCATCTTGCGTGACGTTGGACTCTGCTAGCTGCCTAGTGAAGGGCAACATCGGGGCAGAGCCATGCTACCATGTGAAGACTTGGACACTGGTCTGTACACTAATAGTTTCTATGTACTGTTGTTTGTGCAGGTGTAGTGGATTTCCTCTCCACTGAAATTTCAACTTCAAAGCAGAAGAAATTTAGTTTGGTGACATTTGTTGATACACCTGGACTAGTGGATGGAGATATGCAGTATCCATTTGATGTTAATGAAGCAATCATTTGGCTTGGTAAGTCAGCATCTTGCATTGATGTTAGCCTCTATTTCAGTAATTTTTAACCCCTTGATTTGTAAGGTTATATGCCATTTTAGAGGTTCTTTTACATGTTTACATTTGCAGTGAACATCATATCATTTTTCACTGTCTTTGTTATACAATTCAGAGTAGGCAAACACTTCATATTTTTAACCAACAAATCTTAGATTAATTACATAACTTTACCAAAATGCACTAAATGAAGCTTATATACATCTTAGTCAAAGCAAAGTTTAAGAAACCTTCATGTACTTTTTTTAACAGTGAATATGTGCTAATTATGTATTTTTATGTTTGATAGGAAAGATGGCTGATCTGATATTCACATTTTTTGATCCAATTGGTCAAGCACTATGTAAACGAACCTTGAATCTAGTAGAGAGACTTAATTCTGCTCATGCTGAGAAAATGCGCTTCTATTTGTCTAAAGCAGATGATGTTAGTAATGAGGCTGATAGACAAAGGTAAAGTGAAAAACCAAGTCAGTTTTAATAATTTAAATCCTTAATGCTTCATCATTCATAATTCTTGTTGGTCTTGAGATTAATACTGGCTTGAGAATTTGGTTTATGATACACATTTTATGCTGAGGAGAATTTTTGGATCTAAGAAAGGGGAACGGAAGGAAGATGGAGAAAATTATACATAAAGACGAGCTCCAGTTGTACTGTTTATTACTGTTACTTTTAAAAATATTTTCTTATCCAAGAGTTGAATTACATTAAATAAATAGATAAGTAAGCAAGCACACTGTTAGTGATCCTTGAATGATCCTAAAAGGCTCTGCGTTAACTGCAGTTGACATTTTGTTCTTTGTAGGGTGATGATGCAGATAGTACAGGAGCTCTGTAAAAGGCCTGGACTTAATCGGACAGGTTTCGACATGCCTACCATATGCATCCCAGATCTGAATAAGGTACTTACACTTCACTTATAAAACAGCCTCTGATGTTTTTTATTTATTTTTTTCTAGAATATACATTTTACGTTGTGATCTTGAGACTTGCAAGGTATACAGGAAGTTTGAAATGGGAAAAACATGGCTGACAGCATGGATCAGTAACTACTACCTAAGCAAAAACATTTACTATTTACTTTAGAGTGTACTATACAAGCATACTTACTAGTGGCCAATATGTTCTGAAGTGATGCTGTGCTACTATACCACATAGCAGATACTGTCTCTCTCTCTCGCTCCTCCTTCACCCCGCTTCCTCACCACAAAAGTCTTAAGATCACAGTCACAAACAGAATGTCTGTGCATTTCTCACTCTTCTGAGAGTTAAAGAATAGGAAGCTAATGCTTGAGTTTGGCCTGAAAGTTTTGATCCTAATCGGAACTTGTCAGGTATTATCATTAATTTCAGTGATTCTAAGTTCATTTTCTCTCTTTCTTGGTTAGTGTACTGAAGACCATTTAAGAATGAGTTGCAAATGGTCAGTTATCTCTGTTTAAACTTGGAATGTGTTAACTTGTTTAAACTTACAATATGTATTCATTAAGTAGATACATTCTCATTGGTCCTTAATATTTTAATTCTTGCATATGAACATAAATTCTGTTTTCTAGTTTTGACTATTTGTTTTGTAATAATACAGGGATTGTGATGATATGTTTTAGCAAACACGGTGTGTGAACCAAATAGAGGAAGTTTGTCAGGATATAGAGCGCACCATCAACCACACAATTCAGAACACACTGAACACTCTAGAGAGAGACTGCGAGACCGTAGCACAGTTACTAGAGAAGCGTCTGGAGCAGGACACTGAGGACCGCAACTATAATTTCAAGACTACAGGTAGAGGTAAGAGGTACTATGTTACTCCGTTTTGCTTGCTTAAAATTTTTTTAATGTTATGTAGTAGTATAAAGTCATTATATTTTGTATGGGATGTTGTTGTTACTTGGCTACTTTGTAGTATTATATTAGTTAACTAACATTATGTAGGATTGAATTTGATATGACATAATAACTGTGAATTATGACAGGGAAGGATGTAGAAGGATGAGGGCTTTAAGGAGTATAAGGACTACAAAGAACCACAAAAGCCTCAATTTTTAACCAGGGTTTGAACTGGATATTTTCTAAATTTGTGCTACCCAGCTTGGTTGGTGGTATAAAAAGCAGTTTTATTTGCCATAATAACTTTTGTTTGAATAACTGAAATTCATTCAGCTGTATTTGAAGTTTTTTTTCATTCTTACCAGCTGAATTGACATTTCACTTTAATTTTTATTCTTTTTATTAGGCTGAATTTGACTTGTCTGCATACATTGGCATGTATCTGAATTTGGTTATGAATGTATTTATGAAAGGTGATGTTACAAGTTGCAGTAGATGAGTGTGGTAAATAATTTGTTTAACATTTTTATTTTGTTGAAGTATAAAATAATCAGTTTCATTTAACTATAATTTATCTTCATCATATTTGCCTTATTTTGTATAGTTGGCCTGCTTATTACAAAGCGGAGTTTTCTATTTCTTCAGTTGTTTTTATTTTTTATTTAGGTCATTTTCTAATTTATAGTTTTTTTATTGCATAATGGCACGTTCTTTCAACTTGTTCATTCCAGTTTATTATAGTGTATAAAATCTGTTTTTAAATATTTAAATTCATTTCATTTATTGCTCATCTTTCGATCAAAATTTATTAAGACTTCCATTTTTATGCACAGATGGGCAAAGAAGTAAACATCTTGTTGTATGAATTGTTAACACTCATCTGTGTGTGTGTGTATCTGTATAGCCATGGTGTTTGGAGCCCTGGCTGTTATCCTTCCACTGCTGCTTGTCCTAAATGTGCTTGTTAGCATCTCCAGCAAGAGCTTCCTACACGCGTTGCTTGGTGCAAGTTTCACAGACAGCCTTTTGGTGTATCTGGTAAGTACTGATACATTGGTTTGTGTGTCTTCATCATCCATTGGTGTTTTCATAAGGATGGATTATCTTATGATTGTGATTTTATTTGTAATTTAACAATGGTCAAAGTTCAAGAAAATAATTTTAGAGACTTATTATTTTCCATTTATGATACTGTGCTGTGACATCTAATGTGTAGGTTTACAGTGAGATGATGTAACAGGTTTCTTCATATTGCTTGTGGTCTCTGGGTTTTGGCACCATGTACTCCTGCTGGTCATGACCAGTGTTTTGGAGGAATGTGTTACCTCTATCTTCAGGGTAGGAGTTATGTAAGTGGAGGGCAGCCAATGGGGGTGGTGAAAAAAGAAGTTACAAAGGATAAAGAAAGAAAGGGAAACAGAGAGGCAAGACATTTATCCAAAATGTTCGTAACCACCTGCTAGATTGTATGGTGTCACAACCGAGAAAATCACAAATTATGTAATTTCTACTGCCATGAGAATCTAAAATCTCAGGTTTCATCTTTCCTGGTAAGGCAAAATACAGCTTATATCTAATGGTATCTTTCAATATCTGTTTTGTTCCATGTGTCTCAATTTTTTGTAGATATTTTTAATAATTTACCTTTTCATCTATTCATTCCTTTTAATTCAGTTTAGTTTTACAGTGAAATCACTGATTAGTGTTTCTCTGATGGGTTTCCCTCTAAACCGGTGATCTATAATTGGTGTGCCATGATTTATAAGAAGTTGTATATTCATACTTTATAATCATAAAAAGGTACTATCTTGTCAGTTGTAATTATAATTTGTAATGCACACACTGGTCAAAGTTGACAGTTTTGTTCAACATGTGTTACATTTTGTTTCATATGCCTGCATTCTTATATGGCAAGGATAACATGTAGATACATATTTATGGCCATGTATAGTTCCGTACAATTTTGTGGTGTGCTGTTATGTGTCTTTAACAAATTATAGTGTGCCACAGGTGGAAAAAAAGCTGCAGAACACACTTTAAACACTGAGATAATTAGAATGGGACTAGAGAAATTGTACATTAAATATGAGAACACCTGAAATCAATAAATTTTATTTTGTTTTGTTCCTGTTTAACCCTAGAACTGTTCTTCAGTATTTATGTTTAGTTGACATTTTTGTTTTTTATCTGTATTAAAGATTTCTTTATGTTTGTTTGTGTATCACATGTCTTTTGTTATTTTTAATCTCTGTCATTTACAATATTTAGATAAAATGTATTTACTATGTCTACCTTGTACTTTGTTACTTTCTCTCTGATGATTCTTAATCACATGTACTATATATAAGTATCATGTTACACTTCTAAATTTTATACTGAAAAGGTCCTATATACATATGCTTTAGATTTGACAGCACTGTGCAACAATGAAGCATCAGTTTAAAATTAATGTTTGGACAGGAATTATCTCCTCATAGGTTCTTATGAGGTACTACCTCACCTCTCAGGGGCCTCCTATTTACATTTTTTAACATACCAAATACCTCACCTATTGGAGGACATAAACTATGTGATTTATGCATTTTGAAGCTTCTCCTCATTTTAACCTCAATGTAAAACAGTTTCTGGACTGTCACTACCCACATTGGTGGATAGGATGAAATTGTGTGGTCTTTGTGATCACCCAGTCACACCTACAGACGTCCTACTTGTGGGGACATCTGAAGGGCACTATTTAACTCAAAGAGAATCAGCATGTTGGATGAGTTCTGGTGTTTGATACAGGTGACTGTGACAACAACATGACTCATGTCTATAATTTTTAAGTATATCAGGAATTCTTGGTGTCACGTGGCACAGTATTACTTGTCTCATTTGATTTACTAATGCTTCCTGTTTTCATTAAAAATGCATTTACACCTGTATATTTCTAGGAACTTCTTGCCAGTTTTAGGAATAGGACATGATCTTTATATTTATTGAATGTGATTAAGAATCACCATGTATAGTGTGTAATAATAGAATGATTACTGAATAATGACTTGAAAGGGGATGTATTAAAAATGTTGTGAATTGGTTATCTTCCAGTCTCCAGTTCGTATGCTGTGGTCAATAGTTCCCGATAGATTTCAATGGACAGTATTACTAATTATTGTTATTGGCTCGGGTGGTCTGTTTTTCCTCACAAAATGGTCACTGGGATTGCGGCTGACACTCTCTCGGAGACAGAAGCGGCAATACTTGGAGATGAAGGAACATGTGGAAGAAGTAGTGAATGCAAAGAAGGTAATTCTGATATTATTAGGAGAAATTATATATGTGATTTTTTTGTTTTGTTATTTATTAATCTTTTCACTGGTATTATGGCACTTAGCTGTGTGTTTGCAAGTTTACATCCAGACACCTGCCATTGGAATGTATTTGAGCCAGCTTTATCCAGGTTACACCATTGTAACTCTGCTTCACTAAGATCCATATTAGTATAATCTTCCTATGCATGTTACACATCCTCATCCTTCTTGATTTAATCAACTTAACAGTATTATATGAAGAATAGATATTGAGAAGCTCCTCATTATGTTACTTTTATCTGTTCTGTTACTTCTCTCAGTCCCAAATACTTTCATCAGAATTTGTTCTGAAACAGCCATAGTCTCTTTATTTTTAATTCATAACTTAATTTAATATTGAAACAAGGTAGAACTACATTTAAGTAAAATTGGTGTGTTGCAGCAGCAGCTGTATCGTGAATACTTGGGGCAGAGTGTGGGTGACCATGACTTGTGAAGGAAATTTACAACATTTCACCTTTCAACACTTGTAATTTGCATCATGACATACTGTATTTATCCAAATGTCACTTCCCAAATTAGTTGTATGCTCAAATTTTTATGGAATTATTAATAAATGAACATTACTTTGTTAAACTTTTGCTAGAAACAAAAATTTGCTAAATTATATTTATGTGGTAAGTCCCATTTTAGAAGTTTATATAAGCATGCACTGTTGCCAATAGAACTCTGCCAGCAGACAACACAGCACATGCCAGCAATGTTGCCATGTGTACTGCTGTGTCTTGATAATTCCCATATGTAGAATTTTGTGCTACCCAAGTTGAATCCTAAATATTACATACATCTGGTATTTTACATAAGAGTTTTAAAAAACCATACGAATGGTATTTGGATAAATACAGTACTTTGGAATGTATGAATGAAGTTTTTAACTGAATAATTTATAATTACCTGTTAGATTTGAGGTTTTCACAGCAGTGAGTATGAAGATTTCTGTCTTCTGGGTTGTTGCGCTGTGTAGTCTGGTCGATGTTAACCAACATTTCAGAGATCATACTGCCTCCGTCATCAGGGCGATGAATATGCCAGGGAAGCCATCAAAATCGAATTACATCTTGATAACTTCAACAGGGAAGATGGACTTCACTTGAGCTGGTCCTGGAAGCCTCTTATTCACACTTTTTGAGGGCTCCGAGAGCAATCCAGAGTGCACCGCCGGAACCAACCAGACCACTAACCTGGCCCTTTCAGGGCCCCGATCACATTCAGCCGAACTCCTGATGTCCCACCGGACGCACTTCCCGAGTCACCCCCCTCTCTCTTTCCTTTTTCTCCTTCTCTCACACTCACCCACGCGCTTCTATTGGTCCACTCCAATGCCTGCTCCCATTGGCTCGGGGCAGGCTACTCCATTTACAGTCCAGTTCATATAAACCTAGCCCCACACACCCTATTGGCATATTCATTGCCCTGATGATGGAGGCAGTATGACCTCTGAAACGTTGGTTAACATTGACCAGACTACACAGAACAACAACCCAGAAGATAGAAATATTTATAATTCCCTGTTTGAGAGTTGTTCTGTTACTGATTGCATGACAGTATATAGATTTTTACCTAATTTATTACTGTCTAGTTGTATGAAACTATTTTTCGTGTAAGAAAGACTGTTAAGTGTCATGCATTTCTTTCTCAGGGAATCAAACTGAAAGCAAAAGACAGCATTTTCATCTTGAATGTCTTAGTAACAAGCAGAGATGAGTGTCAGTGTTATTGCTGCTGATCAGTAAAATTGTCCGCATACCAGCTGTATAATAAAATTTTCCAATTTCTTAAAAGCTTTTGTTTTTGGTTCATATATTTCATCAGCACTTTGATTTATTGTTTATGAACTTTATGCCATTTCACACTACACAACCAATGCAGTTAGCAACATATCAGTAAGAAAATCAAGATGGACTCACATTTTGATATCTCACTTCTTTAAATGAGGGTAAAGATAATTATAAACTACAGGGCACAATATGACGTCATTCCACGGCATTTGCTTTCATCAGTTTTATTTTAAGGGAAAGGACAGAAATGTAGGTATCAAAGTGTTTTTTCTGCTCAAGAACGTAGATTAAAGATGGAACTTGTAAATCAAGTTGTGTGATCCTCATCTCTGCCAGCATCCATGTGCATGATAATATTGTGTCTTGGTTTTGCTATGGCATAAAGTAAATTATGATCTTAAAACTTTGAATACCGTGTAGTGTATTAGAATATAAAATAAGTAAACAAACAACTATTAACACTATAAATGACACTAGTGCCAAACGCGTTTCAACCTCAAGAGGTCATCATCAGTGGCATCAAGGAAATTCATTCATTTAATCAAATGGTTTAAACTGGATTTAGAAAATAAATAAGGTGTTTAACGAAAGTATTTCAAGCGACACTGCACTAGATGTTGTTATTCACAAGGGTTGAACTCTGCACTTAGCTATTGATCGGATGGTCCTGTGGCCATAGCTGGTCTGCGGCGAGCTGCAGTTCACAGGTATGGACGACGCAACCACAGCTCGCCGCAGACCAGCTATGGCCACAGGACCATCCGATCAATAGCTAAGTGCAGAGTTCAACCCTTGTGAATAACAACATCTAGTGCAGTGTCGCTTGAAATACTTTCGTTAAACACCTTATTTATTTTCTAAATCCAGTTTAAACCATTTGATTAAATGAATGAATTTCCTTGATGCCACTGATGATGACCTCTTGAGGTTGAAACGCGTTTGGCACTAGTGTCATTTATAGTGTTAATAGTTGTTTGTTTACTTATTTTATATTCTAATACACTACACGGTATTCAAAGTTTTAAGATCATAATTTACTTTATGCCATAGCAAAACCAAGACACAATATTATCATGCACATGGATGCTGGCAGAGATGAGGATCACACAACTTGATTTACAAGTTCCATCTTTAATCTACGTTCTTGAGCAGAAAAAACACTTTGATACCTACATTTCTGTCCTTTCCCTTAAAATAAAACTGATGAAAGCAAATGCCGTGGAATGACGTCATATTGTGCCCTGTAGTTTATAATTATCTTTACCCTCATTTAAAGAAGTGAGATATCAAAATGTGAGTCCATCTTGATTTTCTTACTGATATGTTGCTAACTGCATTGGTTGTGTAGTGTGAAATGGCATAAAGTTCATAAACAATAAATCAAAGTGCTGATGAAATATATGAACCAAAAACAAAAGCTTTTAAGAAATTGGAAAATTTTATTATACAGCTGGTATGCGGACAATTTTACTGATCAGCAGCAATAACACTGACACTCATCTCTGCTTGTTACTAAGACATTCAAGATGAAAATGCTGTCTTTTGCTTTCAGTTTGATTCCCTGAGAAAGAAATGCATGACACTTAACAGTCTTTCTTACACGAAAAATAGTTTCATACAACTAGACAGTAATAAATTAGGTAAAAATCTATATACTGTCATGCAATCAGTAACAGAACAACTCTCAAACAGGGAATTATAAATATTTCTATCTTCTGGGTTGTTGTTCTGTGTAGTCTGGTCAATGTTAACCAACGTTTCAGAGGTCATACTGCCTCCATCATCAGGGCAATGAATATGCCAATAGGGTGTGTGGGGCTAGGTTTATATGAACTGGACTGTAAATGGAGTAGCCTGCCCCGAGCCAATGGGAGCAGGCATTGGAGTGGACCAATAGAAGCGCGTGGGTGAGTGTGAGAGAAGGAGAAAAAGGAAAGAGAGAGGGGGGTGACTCGGGAAGTGCGTCCGGTGGGACATCAGGAGTTCGGCTGAATGTGATCGGGGCCCTGAAAGGGCCAGGTTAGTGGTCTGGTTGGTTCCGGCGGTGCACTCTGGATTGCTCTCGGAGCCCTCAAAAAGTGTGAATAAGAGGCTTCCAGGACCAGCTCAAAGGGCCAGGTTAGTGGTCTGGTTGGTTCCGGCGGTGCACTCTGGATTGCTCTCGGAGCCCTCAAAAAGTGTGAATAAGAGGCTTCCAGGACCAGCTCAAGTGAAGTCCATCTTCCCTGTTGAAGTTATCAAGATGTAATTCGATTTTGATGGCTTCCCTGGCATATTCATCGCCCTGATGACGGAGGCAGTATGATCTCTGAAATGTTGGTTAACATCGACCAGACTACACAGCGCAACAACCCAGAAGACAGAAATCTTCATACTCACTGCTGTGAAAACCTCAAATCTAACAGGTAATTATAAATTATTCAGTTAAAAACTTCATTCATACATTCCAAAGTACTGTATTTATCCAAATACCATTCGTATGGTTTTTTAAAACTCTTATGTAAAATACCAGATGTATGTAATATTTAGGATTCAACTTGGGTAGCACAAAATTCTACATATGGGAATTATCAAGACACAGCAGTACACATGGCAACATTGCTGGCATGTGCTGTGTTGTCTGCTGGCAGAGTTCTATTGGCAACAGTGCATGCTTATATAAACTTCTAAAATGGGACTTACCACATAAATATAATTTAGCAAATTTTTGTTTCTAGCAAAAGTTTAACAAAGTAATGTTCATTTATTAATAATTCCATAAAAATTTGAGCATACAACTAATTTGGGAAGTGACATTTGGATAAATACAGTATGTCATGATGCAAATTACAAGTGTTGAAAGGTGAAATGTTGTAAATTTCCTTCACAAGTCATGGTCACCCACACTCTGCCCCAAGTATTCACGATACAGCTGCTGCTGCAACACACCAATTTTACTTAAATGTAGTTCTACCTTGTTTCAATATTAAATTAAGTTATGAATTAAAAATAAAGAGACTATGGCTGTTTCAGAACAAATTCTGATGAAAGTATTTGGGACTGAGAGAAGTAACAGAACAGATAAAAGTAACATAATGAGGAGCTTCTCAATATCTATTCTTCATATAATACTGTTAAGTTGATTAAATCAAGAAGGATGAGGATGTGTAACATGCATAGGAAGATTATACTAATATGGATCTTAGTGAAGCAGAGTTACAATGGTGTAACCTGGATAAAGCTGGCTCAAATACATTCCAATGGCAGGTGTCTGGATGTAAACTTGCAAACACACAGCTAAGTGCCATAATACCAGTGAAAAGATTAATAAATAACAAAACAAAAAAATCACATATATAATTTCTCCTAATAATATCAGAATTACCTTCTTTGCATTCACTACTTCTTCCACATGTTCCTTCATCTCCAAGTATTGCCGCTTCTGTCTCCGAGAGAGTGTCAGCCGCAATCCCAGTGACCATTTTGTGAGGAAAAACAGACCACCCGAGCCAATAACAATAATTAGTAATACTGTCCATTGAAATCTATCGGGAACTATTGACCACAGCATACGAACTGGAGACTGGAAGATAACCAATTCACAACATTTTTAATACATCCCCTTTCAAGTCATTATTCAGTAATCATTCTATTATTACACACTATACATGGTGATTCTTAATCACATTCAATAAATATAAAGATCATGTCCTATTCCTAAAACTGGCAAGAAGTTCCTAGAAATATACAGGTGTAAATGCATTTTTAATGAAAACAGGAAGCATTAGTAAATCAAATGAGACAAGTAATACTGTGCCACGTGACACCAAGAATTCCTGATATACTTAAAAATTATAGACATGAGTCATGTTGTTGTCACAGTCACCTGTATCAAACACCAGAACTCATCCAACATGCTGATTCTCTTTGAGTTAAATAGTGCCCTTCAGATGTCCCCACAAGTAGGACGTCTGTAGGTGTGACTGGGTGATCACAAAGACCACACAATTTCATCCTATCCACCAATGTGGGTAGTGACAGTCCAGAAACTGTTTTACATTGAGGTTAAAATGAGGAGAAGCTTCAAAATGCATAAATCACATAGTTTATGTCCTCCAATAGGTGAGGTATTTGGTATGTTAAAAAATGTAAATAGGAGGCCCCTGAGAGGTGAGGTAGTACCTCATAAGAACCTATGAGGAGATAATTCCTGTCCAAACATTAATTTTAAACTGATGCTTCATTGTTGCACAGTGCTGTCAAATCTAAAGCATATGTATATAGGACCTTTTCAGTATAAAATTTAGAAGTGTAACATGATACTTATATATAGTACATGTGATTAAGAATCATCAGAGAGAAAGTAACAAAGTACAAGGTAGACATAGTAAATACATTTTATCTAAATATTGTAAATGACAGAGATTAAAAATAACAAAAGACATGTGATACACAAACAAACATAAAGAAATCTTTAATACAGATAAAAAACAAAAATGTCAACTAAACATAAATACTGAAGAACAGTTCTAGGGTTAAACAGGAACAAAACAAAATAAAATTTATTGATTTCAGGTGTTCTCATATTTAATGTACAATTTCTCTAGTCCCATTCTAATTATCTCAGTGTTTAAAGTGTGTTCTGCAGCTTTTTTTCCACCTGTGGCACACTATAATTTGTTAAAGACACATAACAGCACACCACAAAATTGTACGGAACTATACATGGCCATAAATATGTATCTACATGTTATCCTTGCCATATAAGAATGCAGGCATATGAAACAAAATGTAACACATGTTGAACAAAACTGTCAACTTTGACCAGTGTGTGCATTACAAATTATAATTACAACTGACAAGATAGTACCTTTTTATGATTATAAAGTATGAATATACAACTTCTTATAAATCATGGCACACCAATTATAGATCACCGGTTTAGAGGGAAACCCATCAGAGAAACACTAATCAGTGATTTCACTGTAAAACTAAACTGAATTAAAAGGAATGAATAGATGAAAAGGTAAATTATTAAAAATATCTACAAAAAATTGAGACACATGGAACAAAACAGATATTGAAAGATACCATTAGATATAAGCTGTATTTTGCCTTACCAGGAAAGATGAAACCTGAGATTTTAGATTCTCATGGCAGTAGAAATTACATAATTTGTGATTTTCTCGGTTGTGACACCATACAATCTAGCAGGTGGTTACGAACATTTTGGATAAATGTCTTGCCTCTCTGTTTCCCTTTCTTTCTTTATCCTTTGTAACTTCTTTTTTCACCACCCCCATTGGCTGCCCTCCACTTACATAACTCCTACCCTGAAGATAGAGGTAACACATTCCTCCAAAACACTGGTCATGACCAGCAGGAGTACATGGTGCCAAAACCCAGAGACCACAAGCAATATGAAGAAACCTGTTACATCATCTCACTGTAAACCTACACATTAGATGTCACAGCACAGTATCATAAATGGAAAATAATAAGTCTCTAAAATTATTTTCTTGAACTTTGACCATTGTTAAATTACAAATAAAATCACAATCATAAGATAATCCATCCTTATGAAAACACCAATGGATGATGAAGACACACAAACCAATGTATCAGTACTTACCAGATACACCAAAAGGCTGTCTGTGAAACTTGCACCAAGCAACGCGTGTAGGAAGCTCTTGCTGGAGATGCTAACAAGCACATTTAGGACAAGCAGCAGTGGAAGGATAACAGCCAGGGCTCCAAACACCATGGCTATACAGATACACACACACACAGATGAGTGTTAACAATTCATACAACAAGATGTTTACTTCTTTGCCCATCTGTGCATAAAAATGGAAGTCTTAATAAATTTTGATCGAAAGATGAGCAATAAATGAAATGAATTTAAATATTTAAAAACAGATTTTATACACTATAATAAACTGGAATGAACAAGTTGAAAGAACGTGCCATTATGCAATAAAAAAACTATAAATTAGAAAATGACCTAAATAAAAAATAAAAACAACTGAAGAAATAGAAAACTCCGCTTTGTAATAAGCAGGCCAACTATACAAAATAAGGCAAATATGATGAAGATAAATTATAGTTAAATGAAACTGATTATTTTATACTTCAACAAAATAAAAATGTTAAACAAATTATTTACCACACTCATCTACTGCAACTTGTAACATCACCTTTCATAAATACATTCATAACCAAATTCAGATACATGCCAATGTATGCAGACAAGTCAAATTCAGCCTAATAAAAAGAATAAAAATTAAAGTGAAATGTCAATTCAGCTGGTAAGAATGAAAAAAAACTTCAAATACAGCTGAATGAATTTCAGTTATTCAAACAAAAGTTATTATGGCAAATAAAACTGCTTTTTATACCACCAACCAAGCTGGGTAGCACAAATTTAGAAAATATCCAGTTCAAACCCTGGTTAAAAATTGAGGCTTTTGTGGTTCTTTGTAGTCCTTATACTCCTTAAAGCCCTCATCCTTCTACATCCTTCCCTGTCATAATTCACAGTTATTATGTCATATCAAATTCAATCCTACATAATGTTAGTTAACTAATATAATACTACAAAGTAGCCAAGTAACAACAACATCCCATACAAAATATAATGACTTTATACTACTACATAACATTAAAAAAATTTTAAGCAAGCAAAACGGAGTAACATAGTACCTCTTACCTCTACCTGTAGTCTTGAAATTATAGTTGCGGTCCTCAGTGTCCTGCTCCAGACGCTTCTCTAGTAACTGTGCTACGGTCTCGCAGTCTCTCTCTAGAGTGTTCAGTGTGTTCTGAATTGTGTGGTTGATGGTGCGCTCTATATCCTGACAAACTTCCTCTATTTGGTTCACACACCGTGTTTGCTAAAACATATCATCACAATCCCTGTATTATTACAAAACAAATAGTCAAAACTAGAAAACAGAATTTATGTTCATATGCAAGAATTAAAATATTAAGGACCAATGAGAATGTATCTACTTAATGAATACATATTGTAAGTTTAAACAAGTTAACACATTCCAAGTTTAAACAGAGATAACTGACCATTTGCAACTCATTCTTAAATGGTCTTCAGTACACTAACCAAGAAAGAGAGAAAATGAACTTAGAATCACTGAAATTAATGATAATACCTGACAAGTTCCGATTAGGATCAAAACTTTCAGGCCAAACTCAAGCATTAGCTTCCTATTCTTTAACTCTCAGAAGAGTGAGAAATGCACAGACATTCTGTTTGTGACTGTGATCTTAAGACTTTTGTGGTGAGGAAGCGGGGTGAAGGAGGAGCGAGAGAGAGAGACAGTATCTGCTATGTGGTATAGTAGCACAGCATCACTTCAGAACATATTGGCCACTAGTAAGTATGCTTGTATAGTACACTCTAAAGTAAATAGTAAATGTTTTTGCTTAGGTAGTAGTTACTGATCCATGCTGTCAGCCATGTTTTTCCCATTTCAAACTTCCTGTATACCTTGCAAGTCTCAAGATCACAACGTAAAATGTATATTCTAGAAAAAAATAAATAAAAAACATCAGAGGCTGTTTTATAAGTGAAGTGTAAGTACCTTATTCAGATCTGGGATGCATATGGTAGGCATGTCGAAACCTGTCCGATTAAGTCCAGGCCTTTTACAGAGCTCCTGTACTATCTGCATCATCACCCTACAAAGAACAAAATGTCAACTGCAGTTAACGCAGAGCCTTTTAGGATCATTCAAGGATCACTAACAGTGTGCTTGCTTACTTATCTATTTATTTAATGTAATTCAACTCTTGGATAAGAAAATATTTTTAAAAGTAACAGTAATAAACAGTACAACTGGAGCTCGTCTTTATGTATAATTTTCTCCATCTTCCTTCCGTTCCCCTTTCTTAGATCCAAAAATTCTCCTCAGCATAAAATGTGTATCATAAACCAAATTCTCAAGCCAGTATTAATCTCAAGACCAACAAGAATTATGAATGATGAAGCATTAAGGATTTAAATTATTAAAACTGACTTGGTTTTTCACTTTACCTTTGTCTATCAGCCTCATTACTAACATCATCTGCTTTAGACAAATAGAAGCGCATTTTCTCAGCATGAGCAGAATTAAGTCTCTCTACTAGATTCAAGGTTCGTTTACATAGTGCTTGACCAATTGGATCAAAAAATGTGAATATCAGATCAGCCATCTTTCCTATCAAACATAAAAATACATAATTAGCACATATTCACTGTTAAAAAAAGTACATGAAGGTTTCTTAAACTTTGCTTTGACTAAGATGTATATAAGCTTCATTTAGTGCATTTTGGTAAAGTTATGTAATTAATCTAAGATTTGTTGGTTAAAAATATGAAGTGTTTGCCTACTCTGAATTGTATAACAAAGACAGTGAAAAATGATATGATGTTCACTGCAAATGTAAACATGTAAAAGAACCTCTAAAATGGCATATAACCTTACAAATCAAGGGGTTAAAAATTACTGAAATAGAGGCTAACATCAATGCAAGATGCTGACTTACCAAGCCAAATGATTGCTTCATTAACATCAAATGGATACTGCATATCTCCATCCACTAGTCCAGGTGTATCAACAAATGTCACCAAACTAAATTTCTTCTGCTTTGAAGTTGAAATTTCAGTGGAGAGGAAATCCACTACACCTGCACAAACAACAGTACATAGAAACTATTAGTGTACAGACCAGTGTCCAAGTCTTCACATGGTAGCATGGCTCTGCCCCGATGTTGCCCTTCACTAGGCAGCTAGCAGAGTCCAACGTCACGCAAGATGCCCGGTGATGAGCCACACCGCAACAGAGCTGTAAACCGTGGAGAGTGGCACGACAAAACTGTTGCAACAGATCTTATACACTGCAGCCGCTCCCACAGGAAAAGGCAAGATTATTGTGAAAAACAGGAAACAGGAAGGGGGAGGGGCACTTCAACCCTCTGCTTACAAACACACAACTTGCAACCATAAAACATGTTGCTACAAATATAACCACTGCTCTTCATGAATCATTCCAAAAATCCTTCAGTATGATCACTTTTCATTTCTGATAAATGAAAGATAAGTAAGTGAAAAGCAACTTCAATTTGCTGTGAAGGAAAGTGAAGCCAATGGAGCCAAACAAACAATACGATGATCAATTTAAAATATTACGCAATGAAAAACTTTGTATTCTTAGTGTATTGACATATAACTGGTTACAACAGGCTAGAAAAGTAATCATATGGGGAGACAAGAAATGTACACAATATTAGGGGGAATTTTCTTTGAAAGCATCCAGGTAGAAGACCAAGAATGAGATGGCAGAATATCATTAAAATGGAATTTAAGGAAACACACTGTAAAGATAGGACGTGGACATAACTAGCTCAGGATCATACCAAATGATGGAACATCATATTAGCTGCAGTAAACGTAAAATTCTCATGAATATATCTTTATTAATTCCTATCAAGAATTGAATTCACAATCCATCAAAATTATTATCATCAGAAAAAATTCAATGCTTGTTATTATGATTTTTATTTAGCAGCTACAAATATGTTTTAAGAAAGTTGTCAGTCTCCAGGTTCAGATTTTAATTCAGGACCTCTGAAATATGAAGCAGAAGTTTGTGCAACGGCTATGTTGTTCCATGGCTAGCACAGCAGTAAAGCACTAGGATTACATTGCAGAGGTACCCAATTCAAGTCCTGGCTGGGGACCCATTATCCCAACTGAGATTCTCAGAGTTTTCTCCAACATAACTTAAAGTTTACTGTACACATGATCATCCTTTCCATCATCTTATTCTATACTCCGTGCTTGACAATATACAAAAAACTGCACATAATAATTTCAGTCTAAGACTATGATTTTTTTTTAAATATAGTTATGGGAACTATCAGAAAATTGTGTCGTGTACAATAGGAATATAATTTGCCATATGTGCAATGACATACATTTACAATTACAAGAGACTACAAAACTACTTAATGTTCTATAGATTATCTTGGCTTTCCTCTTGTACATTCATCAAATTATGTAACACAAGCTGAGAAGTTTTTGATGCATTTTTAGCCTGTAGATATGCACAGTTCCTGACACATACATGAACTTCCTGCATCCTTCACTTCATAGCACAAGGGTTATTAAATCAAGAAGACTGATATGAACAAAGAACATAGGACACAAACTGGGGAAACAAGAAACTCATACAAATTTTGGCTGAAAACCCACAATGGAAGGAACCACCTGAAAGATAAAATATTAGAAGAAAGGATCATGAAATTAAAGAAAGAGGATTCAGAAAATTATCATATGAAGTGATGAACCTTTAGGACAGAAGAGTGTTTCATGAACAACTGAATTAACCCATCAACTACTCAAGGAAAACTCTGTACAATGAAGTTCATTTACTGTTGTTGCTCACTTCACTTAATAGTGTTTCCTCAGTTGTTAGGAGTGTGGCAACCAATTATTTTAATGAACAGGATGGAGTTTGTGGGAAGGAACAGGGAGACAACAAGCAATATTCATGGGTTCTACATACTAATAAAATTTAATGAATATGAAGTTTGTTCATTCATAGGCTGTGTGACAACACTAAAACAACTTCAGAGGTTAATTATAATTTAATGTGATATGTGGTGAAGAATGAGGCCAAAATGTACCAACAAGTTGCTCAAGTACTCCTTGACTGCCAGATGACAATAATGCAATTTTCAAGAAGTGTATTCTAAAATACTATTTTTTTTTCTGCATCTCATTTAAGAGATATCCAGATCTAATATTAACCAGGATACCATTTACATTGACAAGTTTTTAATGTGAACTATGATCTTCTGTCTTTTGATTTGTGATGCTGTTTAGTGCTGTACATGTTCACCAATGTTTCATAGGAACATACCAACTCCATCTAGAGTGGCCAATGAAAATGTGAATAAAAAGATAAATCAAAGAGGTAGGTAGCCAATGGGGATGGTGAAAGAAGGAAGATGGGTGAACTGAAAAATTCTGACAAAGGAAACATTTCAAAAAAAATCAATAAAGTGGCAAGTTTCATGTGGTCCCTGTAAGGACTGGAAGCAGAGGGAATCTGAGTGGAAGTAAAGGTACAAAAGGAAGAAAGATAAATGAAGGAATGGCTAACGGGAATTTTTCAAGAAGCACTGTGCTTCTTTGAGTCTGTTACCTTCTTGCGGAGAGACAAGACAAAAATTATGAACCTAACAGATGTTTTTGAAAAGTTTTTTCAAAATAAACAAAAATAAAAAATATTTTTAAAAAATATGTGAAGTTCAGACAAATTGCAGTTTGATGTGGCAGGCATTTTCAAGACACCACAACTTAAACTTCTGTTAGTCCATACAATGATGCCACTGTTTTATTACTACTGTTGTGGCAAATTAGTTGTGTACTGCCAACTACTAGCTGTAAGCAACAGAAATTATGATAACATGTGTAATCTGTATTGTTGACTAACCCTTCTTCAAAATATATCTTTAGTTGCAATAAGTAAACATCAAAATAAATTATGTTGACAAGTAACAAAGAATGTATTTGGAAAATATGTGCTCTTCTGTTTGTGCAAAGTCATAATTTGAATTTTGATTCTGCTAGCACCTATAATTTACATTTGGTTCCCAAATCCCAATCAGATTAACTGATATTACCTGCCCCTGTGCTTCAGTTTGTGCGTCAATGTAGGTACATGTAGACAGGAAGTTACAGTATCCTGGAAACATGTGGCAGCTGTGATAAGAAGCAGGAAGTCACACAACCACACCAGACTCTGACCACACAAGTTGACCATTGCTCTTACAAATAAAAATCCCAAGTCCAGACTTAGAAGACTGACATTCTTATTCAATTTGTTTAATTTTGTTGACTATATGTAAAAAGTTGTTTGGTCAACATCATTTGTATGGAAAGGTAAAGAAAATGTAAAGTTGTCCTTCAGCCTAAGCACTTTTCCATGAAGATGCAATGTAAGCAGAGGTAAAGCTCCACACATTCTTAATCTCAATGTTACATGGAAGTGAGTAGTCAACCTGATATTCCGACCACTTTACTCCTGGCGAAAGAGTCCTTTGAACCCTCAGGATAGGAAGGTATGTGAGAACTAGCAGGTCTCAGCCACTTTACTGACAGCTATTCTTGATCATACCCCAGTTTGTATATTTTAGATTATAAGAGATTTGGTGAGATTTCAGGTCCTCACGATGATGAGTATGATGTTAACTATCTTCTGGGACATTGCACCATACAGTCTGGTAGAATCTGACTGTTGTATCAGAAGTGCTTACTCCCTTCATCATCACCCTGATGATGGAGGCAGTAATAATCTTTAAAATGTTTATCAATTTCTACCAGACTACACACGCACACACAAACAGTGCAACATTCCAGAATACAGCTTTCTTTGTGAGACTTGTTTGTTTGTTGAATTAGTTTCAGAATGCTCTATTAATTGCATAGGTTGATGATAAATGAGGTACATCAGGATAACCCTGAATGATAAACTGGGAAGGAAACAGATATGGCATATTTTAAGAAACAATCTCAATATTCTCATGTAGGAATTGAAGAAAACCACAAGAATCTCACTTGGGGTGACATGTTTTTTATCTATTACTCAAACCAAGTGCCAAATGCCATATTCACTTGATCCCTATCCTAAGTCTAATAAATCTAGTCCATATCCTTACATTACATTTCATTAAGATTAATTTTAATATTATTTTTTCCATCTATTTCCAGGTTTCCTAAGTAGTCTCTTGCATTCAGGTTTTCCAATTACAATTTTGTATACCAGCACCTTTGAAAGACATGGTTTGCCAAGAAAACAAAAGAAAAATCAAAAGTTTAAGAATTATTAAAGAAATACTGGTGAAAAAAACATTCAGAAATCTTTTCCAACAGTATTAATATTGAATTTAAGCCTCGGACAGCAATATCAGAGGTTTTATAAATTCTCTATAAGGATACAACAGTAATCCTCTGCTGCATGATTAATCCACTGAAAAGCCTTTAATGGATCAAAAGAGACTGTGTGCTATATTACTGTTCAAAACGATTTCCTCAAAAAGTAACAGCAGATTCCAGATTCTACATATAAATAACAAAAAATGTATAAATACTAAACTACATATGCAAAAACTATAAAAAGTTAAATTAAATTGTCAAGCAGACTGTGGCTTTTAGCAAACATATCATTCACAAATCATATTGGTTATATATAAACTTACCAGGTATCTTCTGCAACGATTTGAAATGTGGATACAGATGAAGAGTTGCATTACCCTGCAACAAATAACACTGTGTTACAAACATGGGTGCAGTCTTTGTACTGAAATATTTGGAATGTACACAATTTAAACAGCAGCCAAGGCACTCACATGTAGGATAAAACAACAATTAGATCTTCCGAAAAAGTTGTTAAATAGAAAAGGCTGTGTTCCCTGTAGTCTCCACAAAAAACTATATTTTCTGTTATATGAATGACACATTTAAAAAATATTTTCTTCATATTATAACAAAAGACGAGGTTCCTATTTTATCACATCTGAATGTGTTTGACTGCTAATAACTTCTGAATCAACCAACAGATAAAAAAACTTGGTATGATTATCATATAGAGGCAACCTCATCCCTGTACATTTTAATTTCTTGCTATCAGTAATAATGTGGCAGATATAAAAACTTCTGATTTGGGAGTCGCGACAGTGGCACAACATGTAGGGTCCTGAAATTTTGTTTAGTAATTTATTGATTTACTCTGTGGTTCTAGTCCTTCAAGAACCCTGGAAACCTCAAACATTTTCCTCCATACTCCTCTACCAACTGATTTTTTCCCTCCATCTCTTCAATACCATCTTCAACAAGTCATCCTAAACATTACCTAATCACCTTTTCCTAAGTTAACCCTTCCTTCTTCTAGTGCCATTTTTGATCTCCGACTGTTCATTATATCCACATGGACCAAAAATCTTAATTGGATTGAAATGAAGTTCAGGCACTGATACACATTTCTTAGCTCTTGTATGATTTGAGGTTTTCACAACAGTGAGTATGAAGATTTCTGTCTTCTGGGTTGTTGCGCTGTGTAGTCTGGTAGATGTTTACCAATGTTTCAGAGGTCATACTGCCACTGTCATCATGAATCACCCTGTTGATGGAGGCAGTATGACCCCTGAAACGTGGGTAAACATCTACCAGACTACACAGCACAACAACCCAGAAGACAGAAATCTTCATCTTAGCTCTTTACCAGCCCAGAAATGTTCTTTTGGACTTTCCCATGCACTGATTAACAATTGTTTTAAGAAACCAAGTCTCACTTACATAGGTAACAATTAGTTAACTACTCTTTCGTACACTGTTAGTTTGCTCTGTGAGATGCTCTTTGACTTAATAAACCTTTGCAGTGCAAAACAGCATCGATTTCCAGCAGCTATCCTGGCTTTGATTTCTGCACGTAAGTAATTCTTAATTGCTAATACTACTCCTAAACACTTGAAAGAATTTGTTCTCTCAAAACTATGATCTCCTACTTAAAAAGTTTCTGCCAAATTTCATTCACAGGTTGTATTAACCATGAACTTTGTCTTACCATCACTTGTTTCTGGGCCTAGTCTTTTGGCTGTTGTTTCAAATTTTAGAAAGGCATCTCCTATCATTTTAGGGCTTTTTGCAACCATTATAACATTATACACAAATTCCAAGTGTTGGTATAGTCAATGATATATATTAATATTAGGGTTAATTTCAATCTATCTTACCACCTTGGGCTTTCAAAACACATCTTTGCGAATGCTCAGCTTGGTCACCCCTGGGTCTCCACCATCCAAAATGCCTCCCAGCTTTGCCACCCATGGGGCTTGCACCACCCCTGAGATATACCCCTATACTTTGCCACACAAGCTCCCTCCCAACTGACCTTGCATCCAAACCCCTCCACCCTCCAAAGGCAAGATGCCATTACCATCAACATAATGCCATCTATCAGTGCTCATACAGACTATTTGTTTTGCAATCCATCAGTGGTCCTATAAACCAGTGGTATTCAACCTGGGGTATGCGAAGACATCTTAGGGGGTACGTGAAATTTAAAAAAAATATATTATTTTATGATAAACAATAAATAATCAGTAATGTAATTTATTCAATTTATTTTAGATGTAGATTATATACTATGTATATCTTGAATTATACACCAACAACTTTGTGGGTACAAGGTTGGAAGAGAAATTATATCTGGGGGTACACGAACAAAAAATGGTTGAATACCACTGCTATAAACTATTTGATATCCACTGGAAGACTGGTGACATAATTACCCATGCTACCATCTACCAGTGACCATATGAATTATTCTGGCTGCAATCATTAGAATGTAACAAGTTTTTGTGTTGTCACAGTCACATGAGAAAAAAGCCTATTTTGTTGAAAGAAGTGAATTACTAATAATTAGTAAATATATCACTTATTGGAATTAAAATGATAAATATGTGAGTATACATGACAAGAATAGTAACAAATGGGAGGTTGCTTTTATTATTAACTGCTATTCATATATATATTTAAGAAAATAATAAGCAGTGTGTGGCATAAAGAACACCTTCAGAACTTTCGTGTGCTCTGAAGAGTATACCTTTCCAATTTTGTTTAAGTACAATGTCTTAATGACCAACTTAATGAAGCACAGGGACTTCAAAGCATTGTAAAAAATAAATGTTGAAGACACCCCTGACATGTGTTTTGCATTTTATAACTGTGTAGTATGAATGTCTGGACTATAATTTCATCATTTTATATCATTTTCAGAGGAACATTAAAACTGTGACTGCTCACTATACTGTTACAATGGTACAGCGTGACTGTAAGAAGTAGTTAGCTAGGAGCAGTCAATAGACCCATACCATGAGGGACTCCCTCTTCTTGCCACTTGTGACAATGACAAAGCCTTGTGTCTCAATTGCAACTCCTGTCTTCTGCACATGTTCCTCAATATACCTGCAACATACAAAGGTACTGCAATTTATTCCATGTGAGTTATCGTTCACCTCTGCTTAGGCATGTGAACGCAAGGCAAGCAGTCAGCTAGTTGGCTTTGACTCTCAGAGGGCTGTTATGCCACGGATTAAAAGAGAGAAAATATGTATAATTTATAGACCAACTTGACGGAGAGAAGTAGGTTGACTGCACAGGAGATTGAGCAACCAATTTTAGCCTTGGAACAGGTCTATGGAGGCCTAAATCTTGACTGGGAAGAAGAAGCCGAAGAAAATATACATCAATACCTTCTATGCACCGCAATTTTTTTTTTTCAAAACATGATTCCAAAGAAAATAATACCAGTCAAAGATTCAATGTAAGCAAATTTAAAAAACCTAAAACCAAACAACGGAAATTATATATCTAAAAATGAGTAAAGGCCAACTGTAATATTGCATACATTTTCAGAACTCATTCTACTACATATGAAGCTCACCAGTTGATGAAGGATGATTTCCCTGCTGAATGATTGCCAATTAGAAGAACTACAATTTTCTTTCGTGGTGCAAGCAGCTTAAGGTTGAAATGCTCTGCAATTTTAATCAAGCCTGAAATACATAAGATGAAGTAAGTTGTTTTGTTTATAACAAATGATTACCAATAGAATTCTATTCAGTAAATTTTAAGTTAAACTAAAACCCTTAGGCTATCAGCATTTCTTGACAGCCAACTAAAATTACACAAAAGGATTCAATTCAATTACATTAGTGTGGCTATAGTGGAATGATGTATTTAAACTGTAGTTCAGTTTCCAAATGCATCCTTTGCTATTTTTAATCTCTCACTGGTCAGTTTATTGCATGAATAAATGGGCTGTTAAAATAGGTAATTATACAGCATAAATGCACAGTATTCTGTTTGTATTTCATTTAATAGACACACTGAAAAATGTTTTTACTAAAGTTGTAGATACTGTATTTCCTGAATTTTAAGACACACTTTTTTCACATTTTAAAATTTCTGAAACTGGGGTAACTATAAAACTAAACAAATGAATATTGGGGAAATATGGATACCGTTCTAACATGCACAGAAGGGAAGAAGCAGCCCCTATCAGGGCTGACAGGGAACCAACAGTGAAGATCAACAAAAACCAATTAAATAAAAAGTAAAACAACCAGGGAAACTGTAGGGGATATGAAAAATGGAAAGAAGGAAAAGTATCCATTTACTTTGTTGTAAATAATTTTGGCCTCTTCTCTTCCATACACTTTTTTATAATTTATAAATATCATCACTGACTTTTCCATATTCCCAGTTCTTCTCAACCAAGTGTCTTAATCCAAAAACTATGTCTGTTGTCACCCTTCCTCTTCTGAATGTACACAGTGATTCTGTGAATTTTCCTACAATTTACAATGTCATATTGTTTACTAGTATCCTTCAATAAATTCTGAATGTCTGGAATTTGTGTTGCACCCGCCAAATATATATGAATTTCTCAAAAAAATCGTGAATACCCCTTCCTGAATGAACATTTGTAAGGGTCACAAACAAGTTGCAGTAAATTCTGCATAATAATAGCACCCTTAAGTAGTTTGGGTTCGACAAGTAAATTATGGAGAATTTGCACAATAATCAGCATTTTCAATTAATTCTGTGTGAGTGCCTATGAGTTTTAGGAACATAAAAGGCAATTTTTACACAGAATGCACTGCTTTTAATTCTAAAACAAATACTACAAAATACACGGAAACAAGTTATTCAGAATAATATGTAAATAAACGAAATGTCCCAGAATTATTTTGTAGACTGTGCACCACAACTAAACCCAATTTCTTTAAATTACGTTTATTTCCACTTCAACTTTCATATCTGTATGTTTCGAAATATTTACATTATATCTACATAAAATATCGAACCAATTACAGGAAATGTGCTGTGTAGGATCCAAAACAGGATGCGGTGAACAGAACCACAATTCGCCACATGATGGCATGAAATACTTACCCATATCTTCGTCTGCATACAGCGTGTGACATTCCCTCAAAATTTTTTCGTTGACAGTCATGGTTGCCTGATCTATTGGATTGGCACATTGTCGGAATTTGGCACGTACGGTCATTACGGCTACGTTCCCCTGATTTTCTTCTGCTGTCAAATTGAATTAAAGTGACATGCTAAACCTGCAGCAGTGAACGCAATGAAATAATCAACGTATTATTATAAAATTTATCAGAACATTTAAATTCCTGAATTCTTTACGTACATGCCGCAAAAATACAACCATTATAAATATAAATATTAGAGACGGTTACTAAATACTTACATCAGAGACACACTCTCGTAATAGGATTTACAAATACAGAAAGCGTACAAACCGAAATAATAAGCGATTAGGCAACAAAATGAATAAGCTGTATCCGGGCTGGATACTATGCAGTACGTTCATTCTCACGAGAATATCCTATTAAATGTACTAACAACGTGATTTTACCAAGTTAAGTTTATTATTTTAAATATCTCAACAAACAAATTATGTCAGTTGGTAACCGTTACATTATATTGATGTTCTATTGTTACACTTTCTTTAATCCAATGAAATCCAAAACTGCTAAGGCGCGTTCATTTAGGGTCGAGTTACGCTGACAAAGCTCGTAAGACAGTGGAACCACGGTTCCGGAGAATCTGACGTAAATACGTCTTTGTTTTTAAATTATATTTAGGCAATAAATACAATGAAAGGCAGTTTATATATTAGCTTTATTCTAAATATTCCCTTTATACATGCTTTACAATTGAGTAAATAGTTTGATTAAGACATTGCTTATTTAACTTGAATTAGTTACGCTTAAGATGGGTCTGTGGTAGGTGAAATATGTTATAAAATTTGTACACTTTAGAGTATCAACATTTCGTGCAAACACCATATCTATACAAGATTTTGATCTAGTAGCACTACATTGAGGAGTTGACATCAACATTAAGCCAAACGTTTCCTCCATAAATGTGACAAAGCTTTGATTTTCCTCCTTCTTTAAATCAATGTTAAAATCTCCTGCCAATATTATAGGCATTGTATTACGACCTTCTGTGGCCATAATTGAAAACATCTCTGTAAATTTGGGATTTGTACGTGACTATTTTAGCTTCAATGTCATCCATCTTGTTATCTCTACATACATACAAACGCAGCAGTAGCGTGAAGTGCGATGCGCCTTTATTTGTATAGATAAATGTTTGTAGAACCTAAACCATTTGTGATATGTAAAATATGAAAACAGATATGGAAAGCTCAAGAGGTAATACGTATTTCGTACGCAATATGTCCCGATCCATCTCCTACGGTTTTCGAGAGGCGGGCGCTTAACGCGCCAGATGCATTAAAAATTGTACACACTGGTTCATTAAAATTGCAATAAATGTATAAACAATTATAATTACAACAAAATACATTACAGATTCTTAAAGGTCCTTATTTACTGATCATTTTACATGTAGGTTACATTACCCTTACTCTTACCATTCCTGAGGAATGAACGTTTAAAGTGACTCGGCGCTGGACCTTACACATCTTCGTAACTAACGCTGTTTTTGCCGAATGACCCTTCCGTATAGACGTATTTACGTCAAAAGAAGACAAGCCTAATTCTCTTACACCAGTTCACAAATGCAGAGAAAAACATTAAATGTGATGAATAATAATAATAAATAGGAATCCCTTACCTCAATTTTATCAAAACTAAAATGGAGAGAGTGGAGGGCAGTATCACAGATTTCTTAGTAATTCTTATATAAGAAAAGTAATTGTGATATTCTAAAACGTTTTAACAGCACAATATTATCTAGTCTACGACGCACTTCTTCTACAAGCGATTCACAGCTCAGCTCTTTCCGTAATAAAGAAAGCGGATTTTTGACGGCAGTAATGAAACACAACACCAAATAAACAGATGACATAACAATTAGTTTCTTAGGTAAAGGAGTCAAGCATTGTTATGCACGCAGTTCATATAAAAGCTGACCATTGTCGGTCCATATTTACACATTTTCCTAACGCTGTTTTGCCGAACGACCCTTCCGTACAGACGTATTTACGTCAAAATTCTGTGGAGTCCAAAAATACTGCATTATTTTTATTAACATCCATTCCTATAGCAATTAGCTTCATCTGAGCAGCACATGATGTTAAGATGATTTGTATATACTTTAAAATTGTAATGACACATGCCATCTTACAACGTACTGTCAGTTTAATCGACGTAAAGGTACATTCTTATAGAAGTTTTGTGTTACATTACCCCTTGAAATTCAGAATGGCTGCAACAAGGATGAACTACTTTCTCTTCATTAAGAACATGAGATGGGTAATAAATATGGCCTTTTACACACTGATATTTACTGTTTTTAAAATTGTCATAATATATGCCATGCTTTTTTCCTGGGTGGTGCTGCATGAAATATTGTCACTACAGAACTTGTAAATAACTGTACGAGACATATGTTAAACAAGTGACTGATACAATGTCTTTAAACATGATATGAGATTAATTTCATCACAGCCTCAGTGCCACACAGCCCTTGGCTCAATGCCGAACATGGTATTGGGGATCATAGTCCTGTTAGCTGTCCATAGAGACATTACCCACCTTTATGACTTGGACACTAGGACTGGATTTGGGAGAGGCGTTTACTTTTACATACATGTACAAAAATTTCTACAGAATTCTCTCTTCATTCATTCTTAAAAATGTCCGTATCATCTCATCTCGTTATTTGTTATTCTTCCAAGCTGTTCATGCTTCAAACAGCAAATAAATAAAATGATACACTTTAAATAACATTTAATTCTTTTATTTCTGAATTGCTCAGGAATAAAACATTTATATTTCCTGCAATGTTTATATCTATCACCAGGTCAATGTGGTGTCCCAATCCATACTGGCCGTACAGGATCAACTGAATCGTAATGTTATACAACAATTAACTGAAATCTAATCAGTCTTGACACTATAAGGAGTAGAACAATGCAGTCTCTGGTGCTTAGGAATAATATACCTTTTGATACAATAATGTAAAAGTTCCAAATAAACATGGTGGCTGAACACAAGAGAAAAATATGATTACTATTCTGAGGAATTTCTTCTGATAAAAGAAATGGGAATAGAAAATTTAATACAAAATTACGAGAAAAATGGAAGAGCTAGAGCATTTGACCAATTATTTCTTATTTCTTCAGAACCAAAGATTAGGCCACCACGGCCTGTTGTGAAACTAAAATTGTTCAGATCATATTTTTGTAGGTCTTCCCACATTCTTCTTCTATAAGGTCTAACACAGTATGCTTTCTTCAGTAGTCTTCTGTTATTCAATCTCTCCGCAAGCAATCTTCAATCGAATCTCTATTTTTCAGTATCATCTATTGCATTTATAACTCCTAATTGTCTGATATTCGGTCTCTTCAAGTAACCACTGTTAGTGATCAAAGGAAACTTATCCGTTAAGCTTTCATTCTTTCTTGTCCTTTTTCTTCAAGGTCCAAGTCTCAGAACCAAATATCAGCATTGGTGAAACACAATTATTTTATAATTTTATGTGTATCTTTATTGTTGCCATATCAAATGCATAGTTATTCAGCATCAAGTAAGACACAACAAAATAACCATGAATGGAAACTAGAAAATGACAAAGAAAAAATGGCATACTGTTGTGTACTTCCAAATGTTCAGAGAATGAAGAAAGAAGAGGTTAAAAGGATCAACCTTCCATTATGAACTGTAGTCACACATCTTTCTGATCACTTGATCACCGACTTATGTTCGGACTTAAATGACTTTTCATGTCAGTCTATAAAAGATGTATGTAGTACCATAGTATGGTATAAAAACAATCATTAAATGATCTGTAAATATTAAGATAAACCATTGTTGCACAAAGCAATCTAAAACTGCTGTGTCAGACACACAGAGATTCAGTCTCATGCGGGCACTTTACGCATTCTTTCGGCCATCAATCAATGACGCTCATTAACGTAAAAGTTAAAACACTTCTGAATGCTACATCACATTCACTCTTGTCAAAATACAGGGAGAAATTCAAATGTAAAAATTTGATTTTGGATATGTCCACTGGAAGTCAATGAGAAATAAGTTCATGATCTGGTTCAAAATTGTCATAGTTGACTGGAAGCATCGGCCCATCAGTTTACTCTGAAGACTGAGAGACTCTATGGCCAGACCTGCTACGGGCAGCGATCGTTCTTGACTGCCGTGTTGAGATCACTGAAGTATGGATGAGTCATCGCATCTTCAGCTGGCAATCTTAGTGCTGGGTTGCACACCAACAGACGCTGCAAAACAATAACACAATCGTCAACCAAGTCCTTCATGTATCCCCAGAAGTTGAAGTCAAGAGGTGTCAAATCTGGTGAGCACGTATGAAATGACTGGATCACATAAAAATTGGCGGACGTGTATGTACACGCAGTGGAGGCAAGTTCACTATTTCACAACTTAGCAATGGTGTGGACACTCTGCCAGAATGAGCAAACTAGCAGCTAGGAACGACTACTTCTTGTAGATCTGGATACTTAGATGAAAGCCATTCACTGTTTATACAGAACTGTGGTAGTTACTTAATGTTAATTTAAAGATCAGTGTAGCAAGTACTGTAAGAAGATGGTGGGGGACACAAGCACAGGATAATGAAAATAGATTTATCAGATAATAATGTCATGATTGTAATTTCAACCCACTCAAAATAAAGCCAATGAATGCCACCCACAGTTTACCAGACATTTCACAGGACATTCTGTATAAGAGGTACCAATGAAAATATGCAGTCTTCCTCCCTGACATGTGTTTCACTGAATTCAAACATGCAATACCTGTAACAAATCCTTTCCTTTGGAATTGAGTTTTGGTACCACCTGACTAAAACTCATACTTGGATGGTACATTGGAAAAGCCTTGTAATCTGGCAACTGACTAATTGCAGGCCACGTTTCTTCAGTTGGAGTCCCTAGCAACTTGAATATACGCTTAAGTTGGTCATCCACATCAGAACCTGGGAACAATGGTCTTCCTGCATTTGCCAACTCTGTAAGAAAACCACAGTCAAATACAGTGTTATTAAAACACGCATGCCCAGTCAATCAGAATTAAATTACTACTGAATCATCATATAGACAGTCTATCATCTAAGTCAAAGTGTTCCCTAACTGACACGGATTGCCAATCCAAAAGCAGTGGCTGTCTAGTTTAAAAATGTACTACTTGACTTGAAAATATGTTAATATGTAACGCTCCATAACCCCCTTTTCTTTCGTATCCAGTACACACCATTCAGCATGCCAATAATTTCAGGAGAGGAGAAAAGCTAACTCCTGATACATGTACACAAAACATGTCAGATGGTAGATGTCAAATGCAATAACTAACTAACTAGATGGCTTACCGAACCCGAAGGTTCGTCACCGAATTAACCAAAGCCCTCCACCGGACCCTGTCCTGGGCCAACAAAATCCAGTTTCCTTCAACTCCTATCTCCAGATGTCAAATGCAATTAACTGCATTATTACACACACCTTTAGAGAATGACTTCTCTGAGATTGTACAGTCTCTGTATTTTCTATTTATTAAATCCAAAATAAAACAATTAACTCATGTCAGCTTGTTTTTGCTTCACTGAAAATTCATGAGTAACTTCCATTAAAGATATTTCAGAATGAAGAATTTTTGTCCTGAAGTGAAATGCCAGAAAAATAAACTTATCAACCTTCAAAAGGACACACATCTGCAAGGGATGTTCCAGCAGAAACTTAAAAAAAGGTACTGTCCCTAAACATGGAATATTATTCTAGTGAAACAATGTCATTCTTTATGGTCATGCGCTAAAATAATTGTTACTTTTTGGATCAACATAACTCTACGAGATAACTTTCAGTAAGCTAAAATACATCAATCGCAGTACCAGACTCTCAGACATGCATATGGATATTTTCTTCAACTTCAAAGCAACCAGCTAACAAAGACAGTATACTGAAAAGATCAGAGAAGTTCCAACCACCAATGTAAAACTGAATTTTGTAAACAGTAAGACACTCTTAATTAATCCAGAAAAAACTGTATTAATTTCATTTAGCAAGAAAATTTTACAATGCAATATTATTTTATAAAACACACAAATAAAATACACAATTAATATTATTTTTTTTACTTTTGTTTATTTTATAAACTTTGTAATATCTGCAATAAAATCTTCTCGGGTGACTAGCTACGTCAATATGGGTTACAGATCCACACTGACACAACCAGCTGCCCAAGAAGATTTTATCACATTTAGTCGCCAGATAAATTTCAATCCATATACTTGTAATATCTATTGCATCTTCTAATTGCAATGCTATGCAATTTGTTTTACCACTGATCTGTAAATACGTCTATATGGGTCATTCGGTAAAAAGGCGTAACAAAGATGTGTAACGAAGATGTGAAAGATTCATATCAAGAATGTGTAAATATGGACTGCCAACAACGGTCAGCTTTTATATGAACTCCTTCATGCATTGTTATGTTACCTAAGAAACTAACTGTTACGTCATCTGTTTACTCGGCATTGTTGTGTTACATTACTGCCGTCAACAATCCGCTTTCGTTATTGCGGAAAGAGCTAAGCTGTGAATCGCTTGTAGATGAAGTGCCTCGTAAACTAGATAATTTTGTGCTGGTATAAACGTTTTAGAATATCACAAGTACTTACCTTATATAAGAATTATTACATTACATTACATTACAGAGACGTATTTACGTCAGATTCTCTGGAACCGTGGTTCCACTGTCAACTTTTTAATACCTCTCTTTCACCACAACAACTATAATAAAGGAAATGCATGTAGGGTACAGAATCATTCAATATAAGAAAAATCTTAACATAACAGTGGACACTGAGATACAAACTAAATAAAGGCAATAATAAACCTAGAACTGATATTTACCAGCAAAGATGCAACCAGCAGACCACATGTCAATTGAGGTTGTGTACAGCTTAGCTCCAAATAAGACATCTGGTGGGCGGTACCATAATGTTACCACCTCAGCTGAGTAGCACTTAACTGGGATACCAAATGCACGAGCAAGGCCAAAATCAGCCAACTTCAGCTCGCCATTCTATTCACAGACAGAAAAAAAAAGTTTTCAACATGTCAATTTATTTCTGACATACGAAACAGATGTTTATGATACTTTTTTGACAAAGTGAAGCAGCAGAAATAAATTAATGCTGTAAATACAAGGCTGATTTTAAAGGAAAAGAAAATGTGTATGCAGGTATGAGGAAAGGGACAGGAGAAGAAATTTTCTTAAATGTTCAATGAAGTATTTTTATCATTAACAATAAAAGGGCTAAAGGAGCAGAATAAAATAAGCACAATACTGTACCCATGTCAAAACAATAAATTACAAGAACCAGATATTTTAAATTTCCTTCTGTCCATTTGAACAAAAGTAAGGACAGGCCATTAAGGAAGATGACTTACAATCACTTCAATTGACTTAGGTAAAGTGCATAGTACTAGTATAAATTATAGAAGCTAACAATAAAGTAGAATTTCTAGTATCTGAAGGGCAGACTGGATGTGAACTACTGAAATTATTTATAAAAGACATTACCCATAAAACCTAACCCTCCCCTAACAGAACCTGAAGGTTCAATATACCAATATCAAAGTCTAATGTAGGACATGGTCCTAAGCTATGCTAAGCTTCAGAGGTCCCATGACAATTAAAAAGTATTTTAATGAAAAAATATTAATGCTTTAAATTTGTTATAATCACTGATGAAAATGTAATGAAGACTAATGACTGATCCAACAATAATTAATAATGGTACTTTTATGTTGTGTAATCTCTGAATTATTTTTTGCAGTACTAAAATAGCAATAACTTTAAAATAATATATATAAAAATATATTTAATTTTTGAGGTACCTCATAACGTGAGGTTGGAACTTATTTGCATTGCTTACAATCAGTGACAATTGCTCTGGTCTGGCTAATTTTGCACTGCCAGACCAATAAAATGAGGAATATAAAAGAAATGTTTTACTACAAAACACAACAGAAACATAAACATGATGATGATGATTCAACTGCCTGATTTTAGGAGGCTGGGCATCACCATGTACATTGATATGTGAAATACGTTATTGTACTTGTGTTGAAAGTTCTGAAGTTAATGTATATTGTATGAAATGACATGTTCTACATCCTTTGGTTGAGTCCTAAAAAGTATGTATGGAATGCAAATAAACTCTATTCTACTCATCACCTTGTCATCAAAATACCTCACCAGTGTGATGCAATCATTAGGGATTGAAAACTTCTGCATTGCCCAACATCTATCCCAGGATTAGCCATTGCCCATACCAATCTCCTTTACTCACTATTCATTAAGAGATTAAAATGTAATACTTCACAAATGTTTGAAGAGACCTACTGATATTCAATCATTCTGTACTTAATTTTTGGTAAATGTACAGAAATGCTAACACAAAGTAACATCCCCTTAAATACACTCCCAACACATCCCAAGTATGAGTGCTTGTTTTGATTAAGTACCATTTGGGTAGTTAAAGAGATTTGTGTTAGGTCTACTAAATCTAACAAAATTTTAGTATACTTTACCTTGTTGATGAGTAAATTCTGTGGTTTAAGATCACGATGAAGAACATTATGGCTGTGACAAAATGCAAGACCACGCAGAAGCTGGTACATAAAAGACTTTACTATATCTGGATCAATTTCACCATTCAGGCTATCAAAGTACTTCTTCAGGTCTTGGTCACAGTGTTCAAATACCAGAGTCAATTTTTTGTCACTGTGCAAAACATCATAGAGTCGTACGATATTCTTATGTTTCAACTCTTTCAGCAAGCAGATTTCTCGTAAAGCAGATGATGGTACACCCTGCAAAAGTCATCAATGACTACGTTTTAATCAAGAATCACTGCTGGAAAGAAAAAAAAGATGTGAACAGAAGGACAATTAGTACTTTTCACACATTAATTTACAGGAATTTACCTCATCATCATCATCAAGACGAACTCTCTTCAGAGCAACAATTTCATGGGTCTCTCTATTTTTAGCTTTGAAGACAGTTCCGTAAGTGCCTAAAGAGAAATACAAAACCAATTTCCAAATTGAACCCATGAGAAAACATAAGCCATAATCCTATCAAAGCCTGTGGTAACTATTTGTGCCACCTGTTTTGACAATCAGTAACACTGCATTTCACCCACAGAGTGTACCTGACTGTTTCATACGATTCTTTGAATAAACAACTATTACCTCCTGAAAATGCATTAATCAATTCATTTTTTTAATGGAAGTGTTTTCTTAGCAGTACAAACTTAATTCTGTATTTGGCCGAACGTCAGCTTCTATGGCTTAAAACATAACACGCCACAATACAGCTCATAAACAAGTACTACATTTCTTGGAAGAAACATTACCTTCTCCAATTTTTTCTAACTTTTCATATTTTTGCATATTCAATTGTAAGTGAATGCCACCACAGAACGTTGTCAGTGGCCGCATTCACAGTTTATTATGCTTATACGAAGACATACAGTGCATGAAAATTCAAGAGAAATCTAGAAATCTCATTAAAATTTCTTACTCTACAAATATTAATACTAAAATTGCACTACTATCACAAGCACTAACAATAAATGGCCAAGACCATACGACACAATCAATACGCCGAAGCACCTTTCATATATAACACACACATTACACACTGTGCATAGAGATCTGCGATCAGGAGTCTCTCGTTGGTTGCGGCATAGGAACCTATAATATAATGAAGATTTCTGTCTTCTGGGTTGAATATCGCCCTGATGACGGAGGCAGCATGACCTCTGAAACGTTGTTTAGCATCGACCAGACTACACGGTGCAACAACCCAGAAGACAGAAATCTTCATACTCACCACTGTGAAAACCTCAAATCTTACTATAATATAATCTTACCGAAATGGAATGAAATCATGGTTGAACACGAAGGGAAATGCATCATATTTCTGGCAATCCCGAATGCACAGTGCCCAGTCTCATAATTAAAAAGGACTGTCGTGGAAACCACAAGTATGATAAAAGTTGGGCCGATAGCAACTGGTATGACGAAAAGAATGAAGACATTTCTAAAAGATTGCCCACTCATACCTATAGCTTAATACCAACATCGTTTATACCCATGTCTCGAGCCTCATGTACTGTTACGCATATTCTTCTTACGAGTACAGATTATTTTCACCTGACGCGTCTGCAAAAGGATCCCTCCGTGACTAGGATTTGAGATTCTTAAAACGGCGTTTAAGATGATGACTAAGATCATCAGGGCATTCACCCTCGTTTATGGAGGCAGCAAGGACTTCAGAAATTAGTCATAATCACGTTCGTTGGACTGTGTAGGCCAATGTCGTGCAGCGCTGTCAGTGAACATATGATAGTCTCCCAAAGCAACTGTATAAGAACTGAAGTACTTCACAGTACAGTTTAATAAAATCACTCACAGGAAAGTTATCTAAAATGAAAATTCATGCTCTTTTGGCTTGGCTTGTTGGCATGGGTTATTTACTACTTTCTTATCATTTAATGATTTCTTCAACAGCTCTGCTATGTTACGACTTGACAAGTCTTTAAAACAAAGTATCATCACAATGAATGGTGGCAGTAACAGTGTGGATCACATCCTGTTATTGCCATCATGCGGCACATTCCCTTTATCTTTGTTACTAACTGGGATACACAAATACTAAGAAGCAATCAGTTTACTCCTATCATGATGCAGTAATGTCAGATTATAACACTGCATAGTCTTCATTTAATGGTTAATTGTTATTCAATCATTAAATAAATTCTCTGCTCTTGACCCAGAGATTCATCATTGTGTGTGTAAACAGGTCTGCCAAGTTTGAGGAACTATGTATTTAACATACAAGTCTTCATACAACATGAGGTTTAACTCCACATATGATTCTCAAAATGGTCAACCACTACTAATTAGCTGTCCATACCTACTTAATCGATACATTCACAGTGAATGTCATTATTCAATGACTAGCACACCTGCTTTTTATTCAAAAAGAAAAAGTTTGACACCAATATGAAACAAATAAATTTATAATTTCATAAATGATAATATTTAGGTTTGTAGATAGGATACAGGAAGATCAGACTCTGAACTGAATGGTAGCAAATAATTCCAAGATTTAACATGCTGTAAATATTTGTATTACTCTATCATACACTTATCAGTCTTCTGAGGCTTCTTTACAAATTCTGTTCTCATTTTTCACCTTCCACCCAAAAGTTACCACATATGCATAAGCAGGGAAAGTACAGTGGAAAGCAACTAAAAAGGTAGATAATTATGCATCCTGACAGACTTCAAGGCATTAATTTAACTGACATCTGGTATATACAGTTCACCTACCACTAATGTAAGTAAAAACAAGAATGAATAAACAAACATGTATAGTACTGCTGCCTATGACTTTGTGCAGTGGTTAGTTCTGATACTTTTCTATTTTACCTGTTTACTGCAGTTGCGTCACATTACTGTTCCACACTACGCATTTGGACCCTAATTACAGAAGCTGTTACTGTCGATTTTAGGAAGGTGAGAAATCTCTTGAACTCATGGCAGTAAAAATATAATTCTATAGTACTCGGTCTTTCACAGATAATATTTCAGAAAGTACAAGAACTGACTTTGCCATTGGTATTGAGAATGAGTGTACTTGTGATTGAAGTGGAACATGCTTTCCAAATTGAGAACAAAACATACTGCTTTGATGCACCAATAAAAGAACCAAGAATAACAGGGAAAAGAGTTAGAAACCTCACCTGAAAACCTAAGTTATACAACATTGATTCAGTAGTTCTGAACCAGCAAACATGTATCCCCTGGGAGTGAGAGAGATACGTATACTTCATACATTGCCAAACATGGAATATGTACATTTTGACAGTGGTCCTCAGAGTTGTTGCAGTGAATTCATACTGTTTTAGAGGAACATGCTGCTGCCCTGCAAAAGAAGGCACCAGCATGTTTTGCCAAAGCAACGAATACAACCAGAAGAGCACTTGGCTGCAAAAGTCCACAAACATACTATCTGAACTCAATCACTGTGAAAACCTCAAATTCTGCTTGGAATAAATAGAAATTCTTTAAAATTAAATAGTCTTTGTATATCTTGTTTTCATAATACACAATTACATGCAGTTGAGATAAAAGTTCTCACTAAAAAGGTGAACATGAAGTTTCACTCAAAGACAAAGGTGCACACTGACTGGAATAGGTTCAAAAATGCTGATCTCATTGCTGCACTGTTGTAAAGTCTGGTTAATAACAAACAGTATACTGAGTGACAACCAGTTACATAAGTAAAGAAAAGTAAAATTTGTTCATCTTCAGGACATATGATGGAGGCAGTATGTTACTCCAATGTAACCACCTAAAAAACTACAAGGCATCATAACCCAGAAGACCATAATCTTCACTCTGACCACCATGAAAACCGCAAGTCAAAAGTTCTTTCAGATCTTTCTCATATTCTAATAACACTCTTGATTAGTCATTTAGATTTAGATTGTACTGTGGATTATTCATGCAGAATAATTACAGAACAATTACACAGAAGAATCCAAATACATAAAAATTATATTTATTAAGGACAAAGTAGTGTATTTTATATCCTAATAGTGGTAAAAATAAAAGACATGATTTCAGTTTATTCCAATAGGAAAATACTGTTGTCAGCACATACATGCAGCTTGGGTAGAGGGATTCACATGCTTATAATACAATGTTTACATGTTTTACCACAGAGCTTACAAAAAATAGATTTCAGGATTATATATATTTCCAGTTATGAGCCCTCCTGAACAGTGGAGTTGGCTGCATTTCCTAAACGCTGACTAAGGACTGGGTCATTATGAGCAAATATGGAAATTTCAGAAGTTCTGATGTCTTCATAAAATGAAGAAAAGTCCATAGCAGTTACTTTTACAGTACACATTCCATAAGAAACGCCTTATCACTCTGCACCTTTTATGTGGCAAGCTTCTTCACAAGCTGAAATTCCATGAGTTTCCTATATACACAAAAGGACAATGCATAGGAAATGTTTTAATCACCCTGATGCATTCAACCATGTCCTTAAAAAAGGCCAAAATTTCAGTGTATGAAATATGAAAATAACATCTCCATGTTTGATCACAGCATCAAACTTGGAAACAATTTTTAAATATGTATATTTATACTTATATTACATAATATTTTATACATAGTCTTAACTTTGGGGCATTCTAAAATACTGCAGTCACCATAATTATTTGTTTGACAAAAGAAGTCATGATACACAGTATGTACATTAACAAAATAAATGTGTAAAACCAGTCTTTGAATATGCACAAATACTTTGCATACACATCTCATTTGCCCATCCCAACAAGAGCTTCATCCATGAGTTCATCATCTATGCTGCAGGGGGATGCTGAATGGGGCGAAGTAATCACCACAGGTGAGGCAGTTGTAGATGCAGCAGCAGCAGGCGACTGCAAAATATGTACCTGGACAGAGGGTTGTGGTGGAGGTAGTGGAGGAGGGGGCGTGTTTCTTCGGCTTGGAGCTGATACAGCAACTGCACGCTCAGGTACAGTCGCCAGTTTCCCAGCCTGCTGTTCTACAACAAGAGGTTTGTTTTGGAGAGATGAAGATGCTGACATGTCCAGTAGTATTTCCGCTGCTTCTTGTGAGGTAGTAGGTGCTGGTGTCATTTTATTTAGACCTGTTGATTTGTTTGGAATATCACTTAAGTTGACAAGCTTCTTAGAATCTTCTGCCTGCTTTTGGGAAGATGAGGAAGAAAACTTAGTCTGGGAAGAGTCCACAGTTTTGCTCAAGTGTAACGTAGAAAGAACTGAAGGGTCATTATTATTATTACTAGCAGAGAAAGACTTTACAGGATTCTCGAGCTTTCCTATAACCTGAATTGTTGTTTCTTCCTTTGCATTATTCCCTGAAGATTGTCCACTACGAGGCAAATCAGTCTTCATTCGGGATACTTCCAATGTTTCTCCAGATGTGGGCTCAGAACTACTAGAAGACATGCTTGCAACTATTGGAGCAGCTGTAGGAGCTGAAATTTGTGGACAAGTGTCTAAATTTATATCCTGTAATTTTGAAGTAACTGATGGAAAAGCTGTAGTAGGTGGTGGTTTTAATGTTGGTGTTGTAAGACTTGATATCGCTAAGGCAGGTGTGACAGATGCCAATGCTGGTATTTTGGAACCTTTCATATCATCTGTTTTAGAAAGAGGTGGAAATTTTGTTGAGGTATTTGAACCATCTACTTTCCCCACCAGATCTATGGGTTTGGCTCCTGAATCCATCCTATTACTGGATTCTGTACCTCCAATTGATGTTTTATCTGATGACTGTTTCTTTGAATCTCCTTCATTAAGATTACTGCTTCGTGCAGAGAGTTTTGGTATCTGAAATTTTGTATCTAATGATTTTATCATACCCTCAACTATAAGCTGTGGTGGTAATGATGGCTCTATTTTGGCATGAGCTGTAACAAGTTTTAGAGCCCTTTCACCTTCTAATTCATCTCTCAAACCAATAGGGCTGGATTTTCTAGCATCAGGCCCCTTGGAGAAAACTGGCTTTTCACGATCACTGCCAGTCTTCAAAGTTCTTGGTTTATTGTCCCGTCTATTTGCATCAGCCAAACTACTCATTTTTGGTGATCCACTGGATTTTGAAGCAGACTTAGAAAGGATGCCAGATACAGGAGAACTTGTAGATTTTATAGTGGATGGGATTTTAGACGAAGGGTTACCACTGCTACTACCACTGCCTGCCTTACTACTGGAACTGGAAATTCCACTGCTACCACTGTTGCCACTGGTGGACTTCTGTTGCAGCATCTGATGTGGTTTCTTTGAAGCTGGTCCACTATTAACTCCTGGTTTCAGACCAGTATGAGTCTTGGGTGATCCAGAACCAGTGCTGGATGATGATGATGATGAAGTTTTTACAACACCAGATTTAGAGTCCTTAGTTCGTGTTTTATTGATTGTGATCTTTATGCCTTCAGAGCTTGATTTCACCATATATTCCCCTGGATTCTTGCTACTACTAATAATACTACCAGATGTATCTCCTGGTATCTTACTGCTTGGGTTGGTACCACTACCTCTTCCCTCTTTCATTACCTCACCTGGTTCAGGTCCCTGGTGCTGAGCCGATTTAAGTTTGTCTATCACTGCTGAAAGTGAGCCTTTCCTATTCCGTACCTGAGGCACTGCAGATGATTTGTTGCCATCTATGGTCACTAATGGGGGTGTGCCAGCCCCACTCTGAGGCCCCGTACCCCCATCACCACTTCCACTTGTTATATCCAACTGTTTCAACTTCACACTGGACGACTTCAACTTAGGACTTGAACCAGACCCAGAGCTTGCTCCACTATAAGAACTGGACACTTTGCGATCCTTATCTTTGCTGGATGAAGATTTTACTTTAGGCACATCTGACCCACTCTTCCCTGCAGTTGATGGAGAACTTGCTGCAGATTTCAGTGCAGACATGCTTGGTTTCCCAGACCCTCCAGATGATTGGTGCTTTGGAGATGAGGTACCATGGTGCTTGGGGCTGCTTGTTGTATAACCTGGAGAATGTTTGGGACTCTGGTGTGAAGAGGAAGGTTTGCTCGAGCTTGACTTGGTCAAGGAAAGATTCACGTGTGTCGGGGAGGAAGTTACCTTCCGAAGTGCACTAGCTGGTGATGAAGGACGAACAGATGTCATGGGTGGTGACTCGGTAGGCTTTATGCTAACTGACACTGGTTTGGATAATGGATCCTGTTTGGGAGGAAGTTTGTCTGGGGGTCCCATTGCAACACTAGAACCACCACAACCACTGGGGCTGTCTTCCCGTTTCCGTTTATTTCGTTTCTTGTCAGGCCTCATTTTATCTTCAGTTCGACTTTTCCCACTCTTCCTGTCCCTGTAATTGCGATCATCTGCTGCAATCACTTTGGATGAAATTGGGGTTATTGTGATGGAGGAATGAAGAGACGTAGCTGGAGTGGAAACAATGGGGATTATCTCAATCCCAGGTCTCCGTTCAAGTCCCATGCCTGTCAAAACGGAATTAAAACTGGAACTAGATGATGTAATTGGAGTTATGCTTACTGATGGAGCTACAAGATTTTTGCTTTCAGCCAAATCAAGAATTATAGTTGGCGGAGAAGTTTTCTTTTCTTTCTTTGGTTTCCTAACAATCATCTCTTCTACTTCTTCAACTGGCATGATTTCTTCCTCACCAAAATCTGAACCTGTTTTCTCCTCTTCACAATCCAAAATAGTTTCCATGGGGGCATCCCTTGAAGTTGGAGTTCCCAAAGGGGTTGAGTCACTGCTTGAACTCTCTAGAACAATCTCACATTCTTCACTCTGCTTTCGTTTAGGACTTCGCCACATCCCATCTTTGTTGTTTCGCTTCCGTTGTTTTTTGGTGTTTGGTGTCTGCTCACTAAGCATGTTTAGCAAAACAGGCCCTTTTCCAACTGATCCCTGACTAGAAAGTAAAGCACCAAACTGAAATGTATTTGATACAGAACTTTCAATTGGATTTCCTGGACTCTGGAAACCAACACCTGTATCTGACATATCAGGGCCAAATCCTTGACGGCTTCCTGAACCACTTAGTGACTGGCTGTGAGGTAAACTACTACCATCAGGTTCAGCTTTAACACGACTCACATCAAAATCTGGTGTCATGGATCCACCATGCCCACGACCAGGGTCACTGCCTGGGGGAAGACTAAGGTTACCACCGGCTGTAAGACCATTTGAACGAAGGTTATGACTCTGCCAAAGACGGATTAGTGACCGCATGGTGACTGGTATTGACCAACATCTGCAACAATGAACAAATCTAAAATTTCACACTTTCTCTTGAAAACAAATTGAGAAAATGAATACAATTTCATTACATATAACAAAGGACTCCACATAACAACCTGATTTAAAAGATGAAACACGGATTCTCTAATGTCTTGTACAAATAATTTACTGTTCAAAGGCAGACAGATTTTCAAATTAATTTCAGACACAGAGCCCATTTCTGAAACTTAGCATAATAAAAAAGACACTGGATAAGGACCAAGAAATTGAAAGATCTCCATCAGAAACATTCATAAATAACTTAGAAAACACTTACTCCTTATTTGCTGACTAACCGAATCCATGCTGACAATCACTTTACTACTCAAGAAATTACCCACCTTTCATGGAACCCAGTCGTTCTTTGCCGGGTTCACAAGTTCCTGCAAATAGGCCACCTAGATTTTCTAAGTTGTCTCTACCTCACTTACTGCAGCATTACTTGCTCAGAGAGTTGTGTCCCTTATCAAAAAATTGTGCACCTCCAGACTCCTACCTGTTCTTGATCTTGGCACTAGATGGAAGTGAGTTGATCAGTGTCATGACCCAGCTGTGCTTTACCCCCTGGGAAATGAGCCCACAGTACCCACCAGATAGGAGGCAGCGGTGGGCCCAAGAGCCAGTACAGACACAGAGGCTAGAAGAAAAATCGCCTGCCCCTGCCAAGGATTGAACCCTGGTCACCCAGTCCACAGACAGACACTATACTGATTAAGTTACCCAAGCTCCCAAGAGTATTAAGTGATGTGCATGTAAAGTTGGAATCCAAGAGAACTGGTAACATAAAAATTAAATTCTCTGGTATGTTAATGTGAATCCCAATACCAAATTTCATCAAACACTGTAAAGATGGTTCAGAAGGTAAAATAAGAGACCAGATATAACCTTTCTATTAGGAGTTCACTTTATACTTTTTGCATAAAGAACACATAAACCTTAAATTACCTCTGTAAAACTTTACTGGCATGCTCAGGTGTGCATCCATTTTCACCATTGCCAGCACCATACACCTTGCATTTGATGTTTGAGATATCTGCCAGATCCAACTCTGCTGTTGTCATGGTCTCTTCCAGAGGATGTTCAAATGAAATAGAAAGATGTTGCCAGGAAAGAGCAGTCACTTCAAACATTATTACACTCTCCAGATCTGCTGTAAAGATTAAATTAAACTATTATACACAGATGACAAACCTACATGAAATTCTATAAAAGACTTCTTAGATAAGGAGTTCAGTCAGCAGAGTCAATAGATCTGGCTGCATAACTTCATAGTACAATTCCTTGCCATTAGATAGGTACCAGATAACAGCTGTCAACTTCCATGTCATAAATGGCACAAATATATTACACTTAGATGCAGACTCTCTGGAATCAGTGGGCATGAGAAATAACACTCTTACACGGTTTTGAAGATGTTTGAGAACTGGTCAGAAAGTTCACACAACATTGATATTAACCTGCCAGCTTAACTTCTCTGACATTGTCTCAGATGTGAAAGCTGGTATTTTGTGCAGAAATTTGTAATAAATAAGTTATCCTTTGAAATTTCTGACATGAAGGAATAAAGTGCATTTTTCAAATTGTCAGTTAAAATTGGAAATACAACCAAGGAAACCTGTGAAATTAAAAAAAAAATCATATATTGGATAACATCTTAAATGTCTAAAAATATATGAGTGATGTCGCCCTTCAAAGATGGATAAACTTCCAAGGAAGATGAGACATGTATCGAGTGGGCATCAACAATGAACACAGAGAAAACTATTTAATTCATGAGCATATGAACATAGTGGCGGAATGACTTATTAAGTGGTGACAGAAATATGTATCTCCTTTAAATGATTATAACTCAAAGTGTGGGAATAAGGAGAATCTTAGCAAAATGTTTCCCACAGACCACAATAGTGACATCTTTCAACATAAGGGAATTTTTAGTGAAGCACAACTTTCCACAGATTCTTCACCAACTGTATTTGCTGTATATTATACAAAGTGACCTTCTATGTATTGAACTTTAAAAGGTACTCCAAAAGAAAACACTTCAGGAAATCAAAAGATCACATAAAATGCAGCATCACGCATCTTCCTGAAATAATAGTGGAGGTTCTTTAACAAATTATAGAAACCCCAGAATCACTGTATAAAACCAAGGGAAGATTATTCTGACAGAAAATGTGGATTAATTATTCTCATATTTAGTTTCATTCCACAAATTCAGTTCCATAACGTTTTTATCAAACCTAAGAAAAGTTACTAAGCGTGTGTACACACAAGAGCACCCATGAGCGAGCGCGCGCACACACACACACACACAACGTTTGCTAAGAAACTAAGCCACACACAACCTATTCACTTTCCTCAGTCAGATTTCTTAAAATTATGTTAATTACAGAAACCAATTTTCTGTCTAAATAATAATAATAACAATAACAATCACAGCAGC